AACACAGACGGACGCCTTTACAGGAAGACATAAATTCCTCTGTTCAGTTGATGGTGTTAAAGTGCACAGAACGTCTGCGAAACAGCTTGTGTAGAGGAAAGGAATCAGAGAGAGAGCAGCACGATTCCTCCGAGCAGCTCCCTTAATGAGCTCTAATCCTCCATCAGACACGGGAAACGGTCAATGGCGCGAACAAAGAGGACAAAGCAGCGGCCCGTCGCCTCGGCTCCAACCGGCTGACACTGCAGCAATAAAGAGATCAGGGAAAGAGACGGAATCCAGCGATCTGCTCCTCAAAACTTTATTTAAATGCTGAATGTGGAGCTCTGATATTTTACGGCTCGCTGTTTTGACAAAACTAACCAACTTTGAAAAAGGTTGAAACTTCAACGCTACACATTTTTATCATTTTGGATATGAAATACAAGGAATTACAAAATGTAGAAATTATCTCCTTTAACCCACATTCAAAAAACCACACTGAAATAATCAGAATTATAAACCAACCTACAGCTTAATAAAGCAATAAGGTACGAGAGGCTGTACTTTATCGTCCACAATGTGACAGTTGAAGGGTTTAAGGCCTGACGCATCGCGGGGGACACTTGATGGCGTCCCGTCGGAGGTGTGTGATGTTTATGTTACAAACATTCCAATAATTGGTGTTTTTGTGTTTTCTTACTGCTGCTCACCTGCAACAGGTTGGCTGACATTGTCCTGAGACAATGTCCGTGTGTGTGTGTGTGTGTGTGTGTGTGTGTGTGTGTGTGTGTGTGTGTGTGTGTGTGTGTGTGTGTGAGTGTGAGTGTGTGTGTGTGTGTGTTTAGCCTTCCGTCAGAAAATGATAAAATGTAAATCTAGATAAAATGTCACAGGGTGTAATTACTTTGTGTTTTTTTCTGTTGATCTTTTTTCCATTTTGGAGGAGTAAACCGGAAGTAAACAAACAAACGTTAACTACTTTAAAATATTTTGTTGCATTAATTCGGCCACATTAATCACATAGATTAAAGTTTTTTACAGTCGCTGGGACACATTTCTCAATACTTAGGTCACTTTTTCAAAACTCTTCACACAGTTCTGTAACCAACGTCCAGTTCGCCTCTTCAGTTCATTTCACATTCAAAATGCACTAAAACAACCAAAACACTTCATTCATGTCTCAAATCAACTGATTCTACCAGAACACGAGCAACGGTTGAGCCAACAAACACACTTTGTCACCCACATCACAACAACCAACAAATACTAACAACATGTAGCATTATACAATGTTTTATTGTGTAAAACAAGGACACGTCTCTGTTTATGATTCACTATAATAAATGTTACTGGAATTAATCAGACATGATGCAGAATGCTTCACTATATTTTATGTCCTTTTCATTTTTTTGCACTGAGTAATTCTAAAACACAAGAGTTTGTAAAGACACCATCCACTGGTACAGATACAGTAGTGATGCTGATCTACTCAGTCTTCTCTATTTGCCCACAGCTTCTCATCCACATCACATCTCATGTCATCTGGGTCAACACCCCTAGGAAGGAACCTTCTGACATGCCTGATCCATCCCTGGCAACCTTCTGCTGATATGTCGGGGGGCGATGTGGCGCAGGGGTAGCGAGGGTGCGTTCGGAACCGCAAGGTTGGTGGTTTAAGTCCCAGCTGTCCAATGTCGAAGTGTCCCTGAGCAATGCCACATCGTCCCATACAATTATTAACGTTTTCTTCTCTCTGGCACAACCCTTCCATAGAGATCATGCAGGAACGCAAGCAGACGTTGACGTTGCCAACGAAATTGTCCTTTGTGTCTGTCTGTTGTGTCTGTGAGAGAAAAGAAATTATAAAATTTGAAAGATGTAGTCATTGAATGCATTTTGTGCCAAAGCAATGATAAGTGATCCTCAGTTTAGGCCACATAGCCCTACAATAAGTGGTTTCACTTCACCCCAGTGTTTCTATTCATGCTTCATAGATACAGTCCGCAACAGAGAAGATCTTTGATTAACCTGAGTGTGATTCTCCAAAATGGTAAATGGCCTGTATCTGTACGGCGCTTTTCTAGTCTTCTGACCACTCAAAGCGCTTTAACACTACATGACATCATTCACACCCTGATGACACCAGTCACTAGCATCCACACACTGTAGTCACAACTACAGGAGCCATGTTGGTTAAGTGTCTTGCCAAAGGACCCATGGACATGCAGGTCAGCCAGGCTTGGGATCGAACCGCCAACCCTCCGATTGGAGGACGACGCTGGTCCCGACTCACCCACAGTCGCCCCACGGCAAAAGAAGCATATCATTATATTGATATTTATCTCAGTTTATCAATGACATTGGATTGTTGATGATTAAATCCATGATTGATCCATTTAAATGCTAAGAGGTCCGACATGGAGCTGTCATAAGCCATGGCAGTATGACGGTAACACAAACATTTAAATGCACCTTTCAGAGAGTAGATGAGATTAAGGGCCATCCTATTTCAACTCTGGATCTTTCTACCTGCATCATTTGGATGTTGAACTGCTGTCCGGTCGACTGGCTTCGATCACTGTGTTTGTTCCTCAGGGCCTTTATTTGTCCGGCATCTTTGACTGATTCAAAGAAGTGCAACTGAGACTCCTCTCAGCCAATCGCAGAGGCTCATCCAGGTGGTGGAGGGCGGGACGAAGGCGCCTGATTCAGGATCAGCTCTTTCCCACCAGCCGTGGAGGTGTGAGGCTGATCTGGGAGCAGGACCTGCTCCGTCCATCATCATCATCGTTAAAGAAAGACAAACCAGCTCTTCCAGTCTGTGAAACCCTGAAACCTGTCATTACTCCTCAGCCCGTAAATCAGACCCCGTCGGACCTGTTGCCACGGCAACGCCCGACGACTCAGGCCTGAGCTTGAGCATTCGTCCCAGTGAGTCCGCATGAGTCCCAATGAGTCCCGGTGAGTCCCAATGAGTCCCGGTGAGTCTCCATGAGTCCCGGTGAGTCCCCATGAGCCCCCATGAGTCCCGGTGAGTCTCCATAAGTCCCGGTGAGTCCCCATGAGTCCCAGTGAGTTGCAATACTTTTGTGCTGCAGTACTTTTTAATGCAGGACTTTCTCCAGTATTTCTGCACTTATTATCCACACGTCTCATTAGTTCATTATTATTAATTTAACTGAAGTAGAAGACCTGAGTACTTCTTCCAAACATTTGAAATTTGTCTGGAAATGTTCAAAGTTCTTTGTTCATCATTCAGCGGCTTACATTCTGATTCATGTTTATTCTACAAGCAGGATTCTTGAGAGAGAGAGAGAGAGAGAGAGAGAGAGAGAGAGAGAGAGGGAGGCTCAATTGAATGATCACAAACAAATAGAAGTGATCAGCTGACGTGTGACAGCAGGAAAGTGGCTCTCATGATAATTGCTTTTATTTGCAGCAATTAAGTCAATTAGGTTTGATGAACGAGTGGCTGGTTTTAATTTGTCTAGAGAAATACTTACAATCACATTACGAAGCTCTAACACAGTGATTGTGGATAATTGTGTCACTAGACTGATTGGGGTACTATTACCTCAACAAGTATCAGCCAACAGTAACAAAAATATAAAAGTATTTTACTGGATCAAACAAATCGATGTGATTCAAACTTTCTCAACAAAATAAACCGTCTGTACATTTTTTTCTCCGTGAATTTGGTTTAGCCCGTCTGTCAGCATAGCTAGCGTCGTTAGCTGCCAACCACCTGGTCAGCTGTCACCTTGAGCAAGGCACTAACTCACTAAACTGCTCCAGTGTACGACATGCACGGCAATACAAACCCAGCTGGTTCTTTGTGTTAAAGCTGCATTTTCTGCCGCGACTCCTCTGGTCTATGAGAAAATGACTCTACTTCTCTCTTCATTTAGCAATTAATTAACAATCAATTATCCTCTCTTCATCATTTCGGGCACAAACAAATATTTTTTGAGAAAACCTCAGATGAAAGCTGAAAGAATTTAAACCTCACAGATATTGTTTCATATTTAACGAGATGAAGCGCAGAGACGAGACGATGCTTAACTTACTTTACTCAAACAGATATGAGCCCCTCCTCTGATTTGATCATTTGATTCAATAACCGCTGGTGTTCACCTGGACTCCCCAGTCGGCGTTGCCTCACTGTGAGGAGACGAGAAGAAGTGATAATTTGTTTCTGTCAGTCGTGCACCTACATGCCTCCATCTGTTATTCTGATTCAGCCTCCCATTGTGGATACTGGAACGTCTCCATGGCAACGCCGCCAACATACAAGCAGGTAATGGGGACTTCAAGGGGTTGCTTAAGGATTTTTAAATATTTTTACTTTAGTAGATATATTCTCTATAAATAAGATTATTCCCAACTTATTGCTTCATGCACATCACCTTGACTTACTGCCTCTATAGTGAAGAATATTCTGTTTGTATCTTGTATATTTCTGCAGTACTGCAGTACTTTTACTACTACAAGATGTTCTGACAACACTACAATGTAAAAGAACTAATGCCACAATGTAAAAGCAATCTGCGACAGCAAAAGATCCAAATATAATATACAAATATATATATATATATATATATATATATATATATATATATCTCCGGTTCTGCGTTTTCAAAATGTGGAAAAGAAGAAGTACGCTTTATGAAACTAATGAAAAAGATAATCCAATTAAATGATCCATAGGTGGAAAAATATTCACAAAAAATAGTTGAAATTGTAATAATACCACAAGTACTACTACTATTAATAACGAATAAATAAATAAAAGGTATGAATTTGAAAATAAATTATCAATATTAAAAGTAATCACAATAGTAATGACCTCAAATCATAAAACTTTCATATGATATAATAATATAACCATAATCAATTAATTATCTTTTTAAAATCTACAACCCAGGGAAACATTTCTGCCTTTCTTCATACATCGTTTCTCTTTCTCATCATTTTCGCAACCAAACTTCCACTCGTCACATTCCAACAACAACAACATGTTTGATTTCATCTCAGTTTATTTGTTTCCAACATGAACACAGGAAGAACAAAGCGCCTGTTGTCTGTGTGAGAGGAAACGCCGTACAGTTAGTGCCTTCCATCCTAAAACGATGAAAAAATAGATTTGACTAAGAAGAAGTGCTACATAAGATGATGAGGCAAATCTGTCCGTGAAGAAGAAACAGACAGATGAACGGACGCAGTGGGCAAAACAAACAGTCCACACATTATTATCATCATCATCATCATCGTCATCGTCATTATTATTATTATGTACACAACAGATGCATAGAATTTCACATAAATACCTACATTCTTCCAAAAAGTCCAAAAACACAACCAAAGAGAAAACAATGACCCAGCAGAAGGAAACGTTCAAGCGGCTCCTGGATCTGCTGGTTTCTGGTTCTGCCGCAGTGCCGCTGAGCAGGGCAGCCGCTGTAAGGCTCCTGCAGGAGTCTTTTATATTTAGCTTTTTGCCAGCAAACTCAAGTGAAAAAAGGCTTAAATGTAGATCAACCCACTGCTGAAAATAGTCCCCAAAAAATGTATTATTCCTCCTGTTTTTTATAAAAACTACAGTGACCAATGAGCTCGGAGCAGAGCCACAAACAGGAAGTGGGACCACATTAACAGACGGACATGAGGTTTCTTCTACATCTTTTGTAACGTTCCTTTTGTTTTGTTGCTTAACTGTAAAATCTGGCTTTTTTTAAAACTTGTAAAGCGTTTAGAACCTGAAAAAGGATGAATGCCAATATTAGATGTCTGCACTCAACGTTAAATGTTTAATAAATGTAAGCAATCCTTTCCTCTGTAACAACATGGCCGCTCTTACTAAAGATCTCTTAGCATTTAAATTAGACAATTAGTTCGACTAAACTGCTGTTGGATTCAAACAAGTTCCATTTAATATTTGGTACCAATTCTTCTTCATTCTGGTGTAATTATAATTAAATGCACATCGAGATTCATGTGCGCGTCTCGTGGGAGGAAGTAAGTGAGCTAGCTAACAGCTGGCAGGCTAAATGCTAACACTAACTAGCGCTGTTGCTGAGTAGCCTTTTTAAAATGTATTAATGGACGTTAGAGTATGTGGGGTTATTTGTGAGGATGTAAATCATATTAGATGTGATCACATGATCCAGACCGCCCGCAGCACTTCTGCCTCAAACTCAGAGGACGTTTTTCAGGGTGCAAAACCTCCTGGTTGTGAGTCAGCGGGCCGCGACCACAAAGCTTTGCTTTTCTACCCAGTCGATGTGTTTGAGGGGAATTCTTCTCGCTCTCCTCCTTCAGACTCGTCTTTCTCGGCCGAGCAGATTTTCTCGCCGTCTGCTGCGAACAGAAGCTCAGAAACCAGCTTCTCCTCTCACTTTATTTCTATTTTATTTGAGCAATGCTGGCTTCGTTTGGCACCAAAAAGTCAGCAGCTGCGACTCCGGTTCCTCCTCGAGAGGAAAGGAAAGTACGAGGCGTCATTGTTTAGATCCTCTCCAGAGTTTCAGTGACGTCTTTAACGGGACAGTTTGGACCTCCTGCTGTTTGCAAGAGTGTGATGCCTTCAGGGACATCCGTCAGTTCCAGGGAAGGTGAGTCCCGTTTGTGTGGTGTGTTGATGCCGGTGTGTGTGTGTGTGTGTGTGGGGGGGGGTCTAAAGGTGGCCTCGTGGTGCGTTCAGTGTCTTTAAATGAAATGTTTTCCTCTGAAAGGCTCATGAATGTCAGCTGTAGTTGAATCCGTTATTTGGACCCGATTTGCTGAATGAGCTAATCCTGTTCACATGAGTTCTCTAAAGGTGTGTCATTGGGCGTGTGTATCTGTGTGTGTGTCTGTGTGCGTGTGAGTCTCTAGTCCTCACTGAGGACGTCCACGTCCTCCCCCCCACCGCCCCCCGGCTGCTGCGTGGCTGCTCTCCAGCGGTTGATGTGCTGGCTTCCCTTCCTCTTCTGCTGAGCTTCAGGAGACTCCTCCTCCAGCTTCTGACGCTTGTGCTTCGTCCTGCGGTTCTGAAACCAGACCTTCACCTGCAGAGACAGAGAGACAGGTGTGTCTTAATACAGGTAAATATCATATATGTGTATATATACATATATACACATTAACAGCTGTTTATTAAATCGGATGTTTTAAGCGTTTTTGCAGCCCTGAGATCTCCTGAAGGAACTCGATTCATCATCCTCAATGAAGACACAATGATTGCAAAAGTGTAATTTACCTGTGATTAATCGCTGCTGAATGTGTGACTCTCTGCTGATTGATGGATTACTCTCTCTCTCTCTCTCTCTCTCTCTCTCTCTCTCTCTCTCTCTCTCTCTCTCTCTCTCTCTCTCTCTCTCTCTCGCTCGTGAAATAGTGAATAATTGCTGATGATTCATGTCGTCTTGCTGACGTCAGGACTCTTATCGCCGTGGCGACCGCTCGACAAACACCGTCAATCACTCCTTAGGAAAGCGGGCGGAAGGAGCCTCCCCCCCTCCCCCCCTCCCCCATTCCTCTGATCTGGATGGAGTCCAGACGTTGACACACAAACAGTTCTGAGGAACACGTCAGTGTTTCTTTCCTCAAACACAAGTATGATGCAACAAAGCTTCATATGTTATTTTACCAGTTGATTGAATTTATCTTGTATTTATTGTCGCAAATATATTTCTGTTGTTTGAATGTTGTAGTCATACAATTTTATATAAAAACATAGTATTCATCATACTTTTATTATAATACTATACGACTTTTTCACATACTATACATTTTTTCAAAAACTTGAATTTTAAAACGTGATTTTTTCTTTTTTGACAATTTCTTCGGATGCTCAACTATGACTTTTAGGACAACTTTGTTGGACGTATTATATTATATATCATGACTTATACGGTACCGATGTACTGTACGATGGATTTGAAAAAAATTCTCAACTAAATAACATGTTACAATAAACTTTTATTTGTTTATATACTATAACGTGACTTTTCTTTTTTACGTATACTGACTTTTCATGACTGTTTTCGCCTCCATGACTTAAGAAAAGTAATAAGTGTTTAACCCTCATTCTTCCCGTGACGCTCACCTGCGTCTCCGTCAAACACAGCGCGCTGGCCAGCTGCTTCCTCTCCGCTCCGACCACGTAGTGGTTCTTCTCGAAGGCTCGCTCCAGTCGGAGCAGCTGGGACGGCGAGAAGGCCGTCCGGATCCGTTTGGGTTTCCTGGAGAACGGGCCATGGAGCAGCAGGTTCTCAGGACTGCTGTCCTCTCCTGGACACAAAGAGGACGGACGTTAGCGCACCACGAGCTGCAGGGCGGACGCGGCGAGAGGCCCAAGGGCTCAACGCCACGGCCGGAAAAATGGATTATTAATAAACGTTGCTTCTGATGGTTTCATGTGAGGATAAATGAATCAACGCAGCAAATGAAACATGTGATGAAGCTGGTAATTACATTAAAATAAAACAGTTAAAGCAGGAAACATTATTGCACTTTTGATTTGAAATCCAAAGTTTAGTTTTATTAATAGAGCGCTGGTGTTTGAATGATTGAGCAACGCAAGTCACACTTAAATCCTTTTAGTAGAATATTACATGTGAAAAATAAGACCTTACTTTGACCTTCAAAAAGCCCGCCAAAAATATCAGGACAGCACAACTGTGTGCGTGTGTGTGTGTGTGTGCGTGTGTGTGTCTCACAGCTGGAGATCATGCAAAGAACAGCAAAATGAAACCAGAACATTAAAACCTGAATGAAAAGATTTTGGAAAACACTCGTGTGGCACTCGTGATTTTCCTGACGCGGTTATGGGATTTGACCTTTGACCAGCGGGACCGTCGCGGGTTATTGAAATAAAAAACTGATTTGTTTATGAGACGCGCCGACGTGCCGCTCGGCGAACCCGACAAACAATGTCGGTAAAAACGGACGTTGAGATTCTCTTTGTGTCGACGCTTTCGCTCCACACGCGACGTCTGCTTCTTTTTTTTTGCGACCACTCATTGAACATTTTACAATAAAATTTTACATAAAAACAAATACACGCACGACTTCTCCTCAACCGCCGCGGCTCGGCTGAAAAGAGTTCGCCAACGCGGCAAAAGAAAGAAAAAAGGCGGGTTAGCCTCGGGGGGGGGGCGACACGCGCTCGCGCCTTTTAGCCGGCGTTAGCGCCCGTACGCTCATTCACATGCAAAGGCCAGGGCGGGGGGGGCGGGGCTCACGGGAGGTCAACGGCCGCCTCAGAGGAGCTCGGCTTGCAAATAAGACGTGCTTTTCAATGTACGACATCCACTGACCTCTGACCCCCCCCACAGCTGGCGAAACAAACTGCAACGATCCTCTGCAGGGAAAGGAGGTCCGCAGGACGCGAGGAACTCTGCCTCAGAGCCTCAGAGCCTCAGAGCCTCAGAGCCTCAGAGCCTCAGAACCTCAGAGCCACAGAGCCTCAGAACCTCAGAACCTCAGAATCTCAGAGCCTCAGAGCCTCAGAGCCTCAGAACTTTAGAATCTCAGAATCTCAGAACCTCAGAGCCTCAGAACCTCAGAACTTTAGAATCTCAGAACCTCAGAGCCTCAGAACCTCAGAATCTAGAGCCTCGTCCAGGACGACGCTTTGGACTTTCTTCTGTTCCAGAAACAAACTTGTTGTTCATGTTTGTGACTGATTGGCTTTTAGCTTAATGGTTTTACCTCGTAGTTTTAGTTATTCTGATCTATTTCTTTATTTATAGGTCAACAGATTTTTTAATTTTTAATTATGATTCAACCTGATAAGATTTTGCATCTTTGTGAACTCAAAATGTTAAATCCAGTTTGACCAAAGTTTTACTATCAAACAAACTCAGGTTTTTATAAAGAGGAGTCCACTTTATTATGAAGAGAAACGTACTTCGACCTTTAAAAAGCCCGCAGACAAATATCAGGACAAAACGATGTGTTTTTATATTCCAGAAGTTCAAACCAGCTCTTCCAAATCTACGTCAAGAGTTATATCATCATTTCCTCCGAAGATTTCTCCGAAGAGAGATCTTTGTTCATTGTTTTTACCTTTTATATTAAAATATATCAAACAATATGAGGTTGGCTGGAAATACGTCCATGAGATCGAAATGATTCAGGCTGGAGATAGATAGCTCATCAGGCACTGACTAGTCCAGACCCGTCAGAGTGTGTGTGTGTACGTGTGTACGTGTGTGTGTGTGCGTGTGTTATATTTTTTGTGTTGTACTAACAACCAGACCAAAAAACAAACAAAACACTTCAAGCTCCATGTGTACATTTATAAAGTACTTTAACTAAACAAAACTTTTACTTCTTTATCAGTTTATCACTTTGATGTTTCGTTAAAAATACAAAAGTTGAAACTATTAATTAACACAAATTGAACTTTTGCTAGAAACTTCTTTTCCTTTAATTGTAGTAGAGATTACAACGTTTTTTTTAAACGTACTTATCCTCAGAGGTATTAGTACTTTGTTTGAGGGAAATTCATTTTTCATCGCTTTCCGGATGCTTTACACGTCTGATTAGCGGAGACGCTAACAAAACTAACGAAGCTAACGAAACTAACGGAGCTAACGAAACGAACGCTGTGACCCGACATCACTAACAGCTCAAACCTGCAAAACCGAGGATAAGAACGAGTGAAGCTCCCGATTCCCAAAGTGCACAAAGAGAAAAGGTGTGAAAGTCGTATTCAAAAGAAGCACCTCAAGGACCAAAAGTGGTCCCCGGACCACAGGTTGAGCCCCCCCCTGAACGAGGAGCTAAGTGGAGGCTGTCGGCTGCTTCCAGCTGATCATTACAAATGGGGCCACGAGCCTCGTGGCAGCGCACGTTAAGAGCGTGCACGAGAGGCCACAGCAACAGATGAGGTAATAACACGGCCCTTACAGCTGTTAATACAAATCTGATCAATAGATTGAAGAATTAAAACATCCGACATGAAGATGAAATACCAACCAGGTAAAAACTCTGCCTCGTTTAAAAGATTTTAACTTACAACGTTAATAATTTGTCGCCTTTAAAACACTGTGAGGGGAACTTTTTTCCATATGTTATGACTCTTTCTAAACGGAATAATTAAACAAAATTAAGATTATTCCATAATTATATTAATAACTTAATGTTTGTTTTTGGATGTGATAAGTATCACACATCCAAGTATTGATTGACAGCGATATTTACCAATATGTTGTGCTTCTTGTGTCAATAAAGATTGTTTCAAATGAATCAATCTTTAAACTGATACTGAGATTTATTCATTTTTCATGTGAGTCTCTTTTTCTATAATCTTTGAGGATTTGAATGAAGTCAGGTTTTAACAATGGATCATAAAAGGTCAAAGGTCAAAAGTCTGAAAAATACATAATTCCTGCTTGAGTCACCAGAAAAAGAATAAAGTGAAAAGAAAAAAACATAAGAGGAACAGTGCTTTTAATTTGCCTTTAAAATGTTATTTGTATAGTTTTAATGTACAAATGTTTATTAAAGTTAATTTAATTTGTCTATAAACATCTAAATATCTTTTTTTTTTACTTCAGAAATGTATCAATAAAGTTCCATTTTGTTTTCTATTCAATGTAAAGAAATCTAGTCCAACTCGATTTGTATTTTTGTATATTATATAAATATAAGATATTTAGTCACATTTTTAAATAATTCCATCTGCAGGGTCGCTTCCCACGGGTTGATAAGATCAATTGTTTATGATTTATTTCTTATGATTTATATTCTTTTGAGTTGTACATTTTCTCTTCTGATTTTATTCCTGGACTTTTTCGGCTCCGACGTCAGAACTCGGCTTCACTGCTTCACGTTTCCTCAAGTCACAATAAAAACATTTGTCATAATAAATCTAAATACAGTTGAAAACAATGATAATAATTCATCAGGTCGATGAAGTCGAGGCTAAAAAGTAACGGGGGAATAAAACAAATATTTGAGATTCACATCAGTTAGTTTCCCTGGAGATCATCAGATTGAATTCATTCTTTATGATTAGTTTTATGTGAAATCAACATTTTATTCACAATTATCGTGTTTTAAAGGGATTTAAAAGAAAAAGAAAAACGCCCAAAATTGAAATTTGTTCTTCTTCTATAAATTGAGAAAAATGCAGTTCAAATGAGTCTCTTTGACTCAGCTCTGTTCAATGTTTCCAGTTAAACCACCAAACATCGTTTTTTATTTATTATTTATGTTCTAGTTGAACAGAATGCGACCGGATGTGATGATTCGCGCTGTTTAAGTCACATCAGACTTTTTATTTCACCGTTATAATATCTATAAAACATTAAGGACTATTACCGAGTTCAAGTGACACTAAAATGAACAATATGAACTATTTGAACATCCAGAAGAAGAAACTGAAGAGAAGATGGAACAATAATTCTGTCCTTTAAGTAATTTTCTCTTAGTTTGAAGGATTGTGTGATGGAGTCCGGCGGGTTGGAGACATTCTGATTGGGAGACATTATGGGACCTTTAAAGACTTAAAATATGTCTTGAATTCATTACTGAGCACCACATTATTATTTGAACGAAATGTGATGTGAGAATCTGACGTGGATATTTTAGTGTTTTATTGCTCAGGCAAAAATATAAAATTCGAGATTTGAGAAGACGAGCTGCGCGTTTCCTGTCGGATAAAAACAGTAATAATATGAATCCTAAAATGAGAGATGAGATGATTTATTGTTAAAAGCACTCAATGCGCAGTGTGTGGGTGAAGGGGGGCTGGGGGGGTTATTTCCTCATTAGCTCATCAGGATAGAAGAAATCTTTCAGCAAATGAAGAAAGCACGAAGAGTAAATACTGTTTTTGTAATAATCATTAGAAGTAGAACTGCTGATAAAAAGTGGATTAAAGTACACATTAAACGTGTATTTATTCTACCATAAATGTTCCGCCATTATAACTACTGCAGTAAAACACCTATTCCATGGAGCTAATAGTACTACTAATATATTATATTCATTAGCTGTTCGTTATATTTTTAGAGGGCTGTCAGTTAAACTCAAGTACGTATTATTACTAAATATCAATAATAAATATTACATCGTTATTATCAAACGAAACATTATTGACAAAATAATAACTAACATAAAAACAGTGGAATTAATGTCAATATTCAATCATGAACGCACTCAAAGACAAACCGATAAATAATAATAAATAATACAATTTGCAAAAACAATATTGATTAACAATAACAGGAAAAATATCCCAAATGTTCAAATATTGAGAGTAACCAGCAGAAGAAACGTTTGTAAATGCTGTAACGTGATGCTCGGACCCCCCCCCCCCCCCCACACACACACTCCCCCCGCTCACCTTGGAAGCGGTGGCCCAGGTACCGGCTCCGCAGCACCACGGTAGAAGCCCAGCGCCTCCCGGTGCTGCGGGCTGAAGAAGCCCTGCGGGGGGAGCTGCAGCGGGTGCAGCGGCAGGCCGCCGTGGCCGTGCGCCCCGGGCTCCTGGAGCACCACGTCTGGCCCGGTCGAGTACAAAGTCCTCCCGCCGCTCCCCTGGAAGCAGGAGCCAAAGACCCCGGAGGCGGCGGGGTGCAGGGACTCCGAGAACCGGAGCGCCGTGGGCCGGATGGGTTCTTCCCCGGAGCCGGCGCCTCCGGTGCTTCCGGGGCCGCGGCTGCTCGCCTCCTTCCCGACCAGGGACTCGATGGAGAAGCATTTCTTGCCGCTGCTGTGGTGGAACATGATGGGTCCTGGAGCCGCGCGGAGGAGGGAGATGCTGAAGTTGTGAACCAGTCGGCGTCCAGTTAGTCCGGTTGCTCGGACTGAGGGGCGCTCAGAGTCCCGGTGCCCCCCCGAGAGCCATAACTCTCCCCGAGAGTCCCCGTGCGTAAGAACACGATGCGGACCTAGTCGCACCTGGTGGAGCCGGTCTTCCGCTCACCTGTGCGTGCGGGGCGGGTCCTCTGCGGAGTCCGCTCCGTGCGGCGGGTCGTGCGTTTATAGATCTCCGGTCGCAGCGTCCCGGTCGGTGTCTCCTGCCGCCTCGCGCTGGAGTCTGGAGCCGAGAGGCTCTGTCAGTCAAAGTGACTCGAGCGGAGAGACGGAGGGCGGGAGATACCTGCCCTGCCCTCTTTGGCAGAGGTGTGCTGAGCATGCGCAGAAGCGGGCTCTCGTTTCAGGACAACCATTTTGTTGATCGATTGAATGATGATGACAAGGTGCCCTACCTGATTGGTCATCATCTGAAATAATAATTATAATGATTATTATTCATACGTTTTTGAATGTTCCTAAGATAATATCATAAACAACAAATTAATTATGTATTGATGTATTCTATTTATTCTATTATATATTATACTATATATTATAACGTTTGGTTATTTTAAGAGAATCATAAAAAAGCCCCTCTTTGGTACATTTTTTATTTCACCAAGTAAAACGTTTTACTGCAGTAAAAGTACAGCACACAGTGAAAGTACTCAAGAACATGTATTCATTGGTGAATAAAACATTGTGTTATGTTTGATGTTTCTGCATTATTAAATGTATTTACAGTGATTTAATGTGAGTTAATGTGACTGTAAATCAAAGCAAAGCTTCAAATGGAAACATTTTTTCTTTTAGCTTCAATATCTTCATATTGTCTAAAAAAAATGACCAGGGAGTTGTTTTGAAATAAATTCATATTCCCAAAATAAGATTTTCATTTCTTCTGAAGTAAAAGAGATAAACATTCTAAATATGAAACGAAGATCATTGTATTTTATTTGAAGTATTTGAACGGTCTGGCGGGAGGCTGCGGTCCATCAGGACCCCTCGTCTCAACGCACTTATCTTTATATTGTTCATTTGTACTTGTACATTTGATCTTATTTTATTATTTTTATTCTATTGTCTCCCTTTATTGCACCATGTGCATGACAAACAATACATGGCCTCTGATCCTGATATGTTGTGTGTGTGTAGCTCAATGTCGCTGATTAAACAGTCTCTATTAAAGTACTAAACTTAAATATTGAACGTCTTCAATATGTCTTATTAAACTTACATTGAAATTGATCACAAAGATAATTGAATATATTTTATTTCAGTGAAAAAGTGTCACTACTTTGAATGTGTGTGTGTGTGTGTGTGTGTGTGTGTGTGTGTGTGTGTGTGTGTGTGTGAGTGTGTGTGTCCCTCTGCTGAGCGACAGGTCAATTGACACAGAACAAGACAGTTGACCCCAGGGGTCAAAGGTCAGAGGAAATCTCCCTCTTTTATCTTTGGTGTTAATCACAGTGAGAAGTTTCAGCTCCAGTCACCTGACGTCAGTAAATAAATATCAAATATAACAAATCATCATCATACAGCTTGGGATTGATAATTCTATTCTACTGAAAGTACAAGTAGTAGTAGAAGTATGAGTTATATTTATACTGTAGAGTATTAAATGTAGACTATTTCTAAACTGTCAATGAACAAACTGCTACATATAAAGACGACAATAAAGGTTCATAAGTCGGTTCCATGATGAGAAATGTGTATTTTCATTTATTGATCCATCTTTTTGTTATTAAAAAAACACCTGCAGTGAAATCATACGGCGGTATTCACCTGTATTGATCCTCAGGGGCAAAATCGAGCAGCACAAAGACAGAAACAAGTATTAAGAGAGACTAACAGAGACAAACAAGGACTATGATGAAGAGAGGACATCCATCCTGGGAGCTCCAACTAATCAGAACATTCTCATTTGTTTGAGTGATCGATTGAGAGGACGAGTGTTTCTTCGTCGTTCCCTCGTGCGTTTAAGTCTTAACAGACAGTAAACAGGCTTCCTGTTTACTGGCACAATGATAAAAGTGCTATACTTTGTCTGTTATCGACAATTTCTCTTTCTGTGGGGATAAAGGTGAAGCCATGTGAGTATTCTGACAAGTAAAAATCTGTTAGAAATGATAATTATGAATAAATCAATTCTACCCACAAAAAAGCCTTTGAAAAAACCCAACTATAAAATTGATGATGATTTGGTGATTTATTTCTGCTCTGCTTTCGGGGGTTTTGTCTGAGAGAAATGATGCTCACAGCATCGTCTTCAGCGCTGCAGCGTCTCCTTTGTAAGCTTCTGGCTTCGCTGAGGAACAATTCTCCGCCGTGTGCACATCTTCTGCACTCATTTGCATATCATATTTTAACTTATTGAAGTTGTGTTTGAGTATTTTCACAAACGGATTACCGCATATTGTAGACAAGACACACGCGATGAGTGCACAATATTCCTGGTGGAAGTTTGATTTTGCTCACTTTTGTTCAGTTTGGGGCCTTCAGGTGGAGCAGGCTTAATTAGTCTTTTTGCTTTGAAAAAGAAAAGGAAAACACAACATGTGGACAGTGTGATGGAGGAAAAGATCTTCATTTTTGGTTCCGATATAATGGAATAGTTCCATTACAATAGAATAGCTAGGACAGGAAACAATAGCTGTGATACAACAGGTATGGTACAATACGATACCATTACGCCATCATTTCAATAACAGCTGCCTTTCAATAGCTACCAAATGAAATAATACCTGCAATTTGATAGCGACAATATCTTTGATAAGATATGATAGAAGACAATGTGATAGTAACAAATGTGTGTGTGCATTTAAGCTTTTCAGTTGTTTTCTTCATCTTCATCTGTCTCATAACTGAGAATAACATGGTCTTTGTTGGAGGCGAGGGTCTCCAGTTGGTCATGATCGTCTCCGTCTCGCTGATCACACTCGGACGTTCCTGATTTCCACCCATGCGTCCCGGACCTGGGTCCTTCCTGTCCAGCTTTTGGACCCGGAGGACAAATGCCAGCCCGTTCAGGAGCCTCTAATTGTGGCCCGTGGAAGCTCCACAAAGGCCCCCTGCCTCAGCCTTCAATGGACTGCCCTGCGGAGGCCCGTGTGAACCACAGAGCCCATCCTGCCCCCCCACCCCCCCTCCACATGTTAATTAATAGGCCTTACTGGCAGATTTGGATCCCGCTCCGCTTTTGATTGAAGGCGGCCATTAGCATCTATTAATTTAGCCTCTGGCGTTTTATCACCGGCTCTGAAAGAGGGAATTAAGTGGTGTGAGTTATTGTGAGCACTCGGGGTGTGAGGCTGAGTTAAAATGTGATTATTGTCCCCGCGGCCCGGAGCCAGCTAACTGCTGCTAAGCCCTCTTGAAAGTGAAGGGGCGACTCCTCTCATTAGAGCCCAACAAGGGAAAGATATTAACAGGAAATAGCTGCAAATTTCTTTTTTTAACCCCCTCACTTCTAATCTCTCCTCTTTATGTTCCACGTGAAAGGGGCATTTAAAAAATGTAAAGGGGAGGGAGGGGGGGGGGGGGGGCGCAGAGCGAGCGGGCGACACAGTGACGATGCAGCGGGCCGGTCTGGCCGATGGGACGTCGCCTCCGAGCCTCCTTCCGGCTTTTCAGAGAGATCGTGGATCAAATTGGGCCAAGCGTCAAGCTCGCCTGCAGTTTGCAGCCGCTTCTCGTTTACGTTCGGCATGTTGTCGAGAAAGATTTAGGTATGAAAAGAAAAAGGGTTCAAAGTCTTCAGGATGATCTGCAGGCCGTGTGACCAGTAACCGATTGCGACATCTCGCCGTCATCAGCGTGCATGGATCATTTGCATTCATAAAATGTAAAAAGCATTGCAAAGCATTGTGGGATTGTGAGCAGTGTGTCAGAGACGAAAAAGCACACAAGAACATCAAAACACAAACAGACACAGCACAACGTTTCACAGTCCCGCCCTACAGCATCCGCTGCTTTGACTGTGAAGGGACAATAATTTACTAAATGAACATCATGCCGCAGTAAAGAAGACGTGGAACTAGAGATTGAGACCATAAACTCATGCTTTCGATGTTTACTGAGAGAATAAATCAAGGAGAGGTAGAGTCATTTTCTCATAGAGGTCAATGGGACCAGAGGAGTCGCCCCCTGCTGGTCACCTGAGAGAATGCAGGTTGAAAATACATTTTTACATGAATAAAGATAATTATAAATAGTCAAAGACTAAAGACTAAATTCTTAATATATTCATTTGTACATTACAGTACAGATTAGTACAGATTAACTGCTGATTCATTGATAACTTTAAACTCATCCGTGCAGTATAATGATCCATAAAGAAACACGTGGATGTTTCCTACACAAGTCATCCGCCGTTTTGTTTTCAACCTGACTTGTTGAACGCGGGACTTTTCCGCCTTCTTCATCTTTCTTCGCTCATCCATCCCTCCTCCGCCTTCACTCTCCTCTCTGCTTCAGGTGTCTCCAGGTGGCTGTGAAGTGCCATGGGAACACTGTGACATGACAGCCGGAGCTCTGACCCATAGCTAACACACACACACACACACACACACGCACACGCACACGCACACACACGCACACGCACACGCACGCACACACACGCACACGCACACGCACGCACACACACACACTGCGGGGGCTGATGTGCAGGTTTCAGGTATTGTCTCGGCTTGTCAAACAGCCGCTGACACGCTGATCCTTTTACATCCGCTCAACGCTTCACGCTCACACTTAAGAGCGCTGCTGCCTTAACAGCAGGTCAGGGGTGCTGAGCCTCCTGGGCCTCCGTACAACAGTGTGGGGTCACTCTCACACACACACACACACACACACACACACGTTTCTATCTACCTGTGGGGCCAAAAGTACCAAAAAAAGAATATTAAATGCTTATGATTTAAGAACAAGAACCGTAGGATTATACAGGTTATCCTGCAGTAAATGTAAGCGGTTACTTCCACCTCTATGCGGGTTGTAAATCATAGACTGTAGATAAGAAGTTGACGTTGTCATGGTGACGTTACTACTTTGTAGACTTTCTCCGTGTTGAACAGTGAGCGATCTAAAGGTCTGAGGAGGACGTAGAGACGCCGTATACTAGGGGTGGGGGAAAAAATCGATTCTCTCTGGAACGATTCGGTCTCGATTCAGAAAAGTTAATAATCGGAATTAAAAAAAAAAAAAAAAGTTTGTCTCGCGCGAGATATTTGCTCGCTCGCGGAGCGTGAACTAGTCTCTGCTCGCGCTCGAAGGTGTTTTCTACGCGCTCGCTGTTGTTCTTTTTGACAGTGAGGGGGCGGAGCCAGTGACCATGGTCTCTACACCTGATTGGTTACAAACCCCGTCTTTGGATTGGCTGGAGTGATGCATTCACACAACTATAGAAGCCCATTTCCGCACTAATGTAAGGGGATAGAAAGTCGAACTTATGAGATAAAACGTTGTCAAAAAACAAACGCCCCCCTTCGGTAACCGTAGACGACAACCAGCTACAACCATCATTTACCATCATTAACGGCACATTAAGAGCAACGCGTCCAGCTCGCAGATCTAATAATATCTAATAACTTTACCGAACTATGGAGGAGCCTGCGCACATCTTACCTCATTATTTCCATTTTCCAAAAAGTCGATCCGTATTGAAAGTTGGCAAAATACTCACAGATTTGGACTTTTTTCCGGTATTTTACCAATACGGACCGGCCTGAGACTAAGAGCGGCTTTTTCTTCATTTAAAAGAAAAATGAATCTGTTTAATATTTTTTTTACATCGGCTACTTCATATTGTGTTGAAATGCAAGCTGCGTTGGTTCTTGCATTGTTGATAGAAAATCAGATTTGTAACAAAGATTTTTTTTTCTCTTATAAAAAATTTGAGAAAGTAATTCATCTGTTGATTTTCTTTAATTATCAAATAAAGTAGGAAGTGATTAGCAACCTCTGAGGAGCAAACTCAGATTTGAGAAAATTTAGAAAATCGAGATGCATCGATAATAATCGTTTTATCAGTTTAGAATCGATACTCGGTTTAGAATCGATAATCGGTTTAGAATTGAATCGTTGACCTCTGAATCGGAATGGAATCGAATCGTGAGGTGCCAAGAGGTTCCCAGCCCTACCGTAGACCTCTCTGGTAGAGAGAGACCTGTCAGTCAGGCTGTAGCCCCGCCCGGAAGCGTCCCCTGTTTTATGGTCTGTTTGACTCTAAATGGACCATAATTCACTGCATGAACATCATCTGTATTGAAGAAGACTTGAAACTAGAGACTGAGACATAAACTCCTGTTTACAATGTTTACTGAGGGAATAAATCACGAGAGAAGTAGAGTCATTTCCTCATAGACTTTGATGGGACCAGAGGAGTCGCCCCCTGCTGGTCACTGCAGAGAGAATACAGCTTCAACACGGAAAGCATTGATTTAACTTTTCACAACCAGAGGTTGACGTCTGGTAAAAAAAAAAAAGACAGGCTCAGAATAAATATCTTTGTTAGCAGAGAGCGGCTTACTGGCCCGAAAAGCCAACATGAAAAACCAGATTAAAAATGCCAAACTCAAAGCTTTAAATATGTAGACCACAAACCACCTCACAGTGACAAATCGCACCCATTTATACTCTTTTGATCGCCACACTCTCTAGTGGTTCGTGACAAGTTGATGGTAGAAACGAGCCCCGTAGAGCCGCTTTGGGTCGTTCAGGTTCGATCCCAGCAGCAGCAAACTGGCCACAAAACCCCAAGCGGTCCCCTGCTGCACCCTGGAGGACATTCAGGTACAATGCATAAAATATATATATAATATATGCACTCATTACAGTTAACTCAATGTCCAAGGAATCAGATGGAGATGATATGAGCTTTGTGACATGGTGCATCATCCTGCTGGAAGTAACCATCAGAAGATGGTACACTGTGGCCCTAAAGGGATGCGCCGTCTAAACAATGCGATGGGTACTAAGGGGCCCAAAATGTGCCATGAAACCCCCCCCCACCACCACACCACCCCACCACACCGGCAGCAGCCTGATGCGTTGACAGGCGGCAGGATGGATCCATGCTTCCGTGTTTACTGTACATTCCGACCCGGCTGTGTCCTTCAAGAAGACCCGACCCGAACTAGCGGTGAACCAGCTGAACCGGATCAGCCTGAGCTCACAATCAGACACCGGAGCGGCGTGAAGGGGAAGCCGCACACAGGACGCTTCTGTAGAGACGTCCACGCCGGCATGTCTAGCTAGCTAGTTAGCTATATGCTAACGCCGTATGTATATGTATATTCGCGCACCGCACGCATGACGTCACCGTGGTAAAGTTGAAGGACACACAACCAGGACATGAATGAAAACGGCGATATTTTACCCCAAATAATTCATTGTGTGACGTTTTGTGGGGCTTCCTCAACACACCCCCCATAAACTAGGCTCATAGGTGCATCTCAATATATACGTATATATACAAATAAATGTTATAATATATTTCATATAAATGTATTTATCGTGTAATATATTTATCCTTTAATACATTTATTATATTTATATTGGATACTTATAATAGATACGATATGGTAGTTATATCATATTCTGAATATTGTTTGATATATATAGTTATATAAATGTTAAATATTTAACTGCAAAGTAATAATGCGTGTTTGATACCCTTTTTTTGCATTGAATCATACTGGGATGTTAACTGAAACTGATGGCTGGTCCTACCAAAAAAGAATCCACCAGCCGCCACAGCATTGCGGTGAGCCGGTGAGTTGTAGTCGCAGTTTCCTGTTGTTAGCTGAATGGACGGGCCACAGTGTGGCCTCCTGCATTTGATTGGCTGATTTGTATTAACAAGCAAATGAACAGGGGTACCTAATAAAGTGTATAGCTAGATATGTATGTATATGGCTCTGAATATTTATATTTATTTAAAACCACAGGGACAGTTTATAGAAAAATACAATTTAGCATGAAAGAAAGTAGTCAATATGATCACTTTAACTGCAACGGGAGAAAAACGAGTGGCATGACATACTAGTTATTGTCTTTTAGTTAATATGCAAACACAGACATGAAACAGTTTTAGTTGCAGCTTTTTATTAAGTCAAGCCAAAAACACACAAGTAAAGACAAACTGCTGGTTTTAAATCCAATGAAGCAAAGATGAAATACGTTTCTACGTGAGAGAAGCAAACAAACAAAAAAAGTAAAACTATACAACATGGAGAAAAACAATTCTCTCCTATACAAACCCCTGGTAAAATACTTCGTCAAAGTGCTAGTGCATAAGGAGAAGGAGTTGTCAAAACGCAGACTTTTTTTTGGCATTGTCACTTTTCACAATTCTCAACTGACAATATGGCAATATTTTCACATCTTCAAAAAGTAACGCATATTAAATCCAACACTTATCAAGCTTTTCAAAGGCGAGGTGTTTACAGTGATTATTGTGATCGAGTTGTTCTTGATATCTTAAAATATGTTTTTGAACACTATAGAAACCTCTGACGGTAACGACAAAAGAGACAGACTGGCTAAGGAGTAAAAATGGCGGAAGCCGTAACATCAGAGTACCCTCGTACAGCTACGCTGCTTGGACTTGTCCATTTACAGCGGCTGTATGGTTCATGATCTAGCTAGCTCGATAGTGTTAGCTAATACTTATCTAACAGTCAGCATACTAGCTAACTTTGTGAGCCATTTTGCCTTGCTAGCGCAATAGTTTGTTAGCGGCTGGCTAGCTCACAACCAGTGGCCTTTCAATTACCTATCACAGAATAAGATACGTCATCAAAGCTGTGGATTTTACAGAGTCATTTTCTGATGGGACCAGGCAACAAATATTCCATGTTAGAAGGCCCCACGAGGATTTGATGTCCACAATCCTGAAAACTCTTTAATGGGCAAAACACTGTAAAATTAATTTTTTTTACCTCAAGTGAAGTCAAAAACTGGGCTGAACTTGAACCACTGGAACGTGCACACAAGCTGTAACTGGAGCTGATTTTCAACATGCTAACACTAGCTGATAAGTTGATAAGTTAAGTTGTTACGTTAGCATTTCTCTAAACCAGGGTTAGTTGAGCGGGCAACCCACAATTTGCAAGAACTTGTCACAACTCTTAAAGAGTATCGTTAATTGGAGTATCATCTGAGACCTGCTATAATCACAAAGATTAAGTTAGCCAGTTGTCATTTTATATCTAAATAAAACAGTCGAATATGTGCTGGAACAATTGGAGCTAAAAAGCTGAACTCAACTTTTATCTAGGCCGAATGCTAATGGTAGCATGTTACCGAGCATTTCACTAACTAAGGAGTATTCACATGGTATAATAGTGTGAAACATTCAATGTTTTGGTGGCTATGTATGAAGATATTTTGGGGAGTTAGAACTCTAACGTTAGCATGCCGCCCTAGCATCAATCTCAAAGTAAATGAAATATCACATGGACTCTGAAATTTGATCTAGAGCAATACTGACGATTTGGGTGATAAAACCTCTGTAGCGATCATGAAGAAATCAGGTTTTTGTAAGAAACGAATGACTAGCATCCCCTGAGCCAAGATGCTGGCGTGCTAAAACACTCAAATATGTTGCGCTACTACTCTTTTTTTTACTGATTTAAACCAACACGTTCCATTGTTTATTGATTCTGAGGTTCAATAAACCTGTTGGTCAACCCCGCAAAAGCAAAAGGGCTGAAGGTAGATTTCTGCGCTCCTTAATACTGTACATAAACATTTGACTGTGAAAGCGAAGTGGTGTCTTCCCTCGACAGCAGACTGAAGAGTTAACTCTACATTCAAAACCAATAACATCAAGTCGTGATTAGGTTTTGACACAAGGAAAACCCTAAAGCAAGGCACACAAAATAAGTATATACGTCAAAAGCAAAGTTAGTAAACTTAAAAAAAGAAAACATTTGGCAACAGGTTTATACAAAAAGACAAATATCGCAATCGATCAGAGTTGATTTGGAAGCGTTCGTTCTAGTTGTTGATTACAGATTGTTTGAAGACTTGAACTTTGGAGCAGGCTGCTCACATATATTTACTATGAATGTTTTCCGGTTGAAATCCAGAGGATCCTTGAGGGCTTCTTTTACTTTAGAGTTTAATTGCGAGAAGGACACTTGTTTACACATGTAATCGTCCTCGAAACAAACCCCGAGCGGACATTCACACTTTTCAGTAACAGACGTTGTGGGAACTTGTAATATATTTTGGGACATTTAAGAATGGAACATTAATGGGACGCTTGGAATAACCGAGTAGTTGGAGTGGACGTCCAAGACCAAGAGGGAAGAATGAATACAACTGCTTCTTGAAGCTCCGCTAATCCTCTAGCACTCTTTTGTCTCTTAACCGTTTATGTGCCATTTAGAAAGGAATTTTTGACGGGCCAGTGGTGGATTTTCACATAACGAAGGCAAGTTAGCCAAGAGTCACAGGGGACACTAAACTTGTCATTTAGTTTTCAACTCTCTGCGTTTTGAGGTAGATCCTGTTGGATTTATTCCTAACAAACATGAAGATCCAGCTTTTATGTCGACATCACCGCTTATTAATGGCGTCTCAGGCACTTCGGTAGAACTGGAAGGTTCATACAAGCAACTGATAAATAATCTGCATGATTGATGGATTCGTTCATAAACGTTACAACAAACTCTTGAGTTGCGAAAGTCCGATGACACACACAAGGAAGCCCTAAAATTATTATTTCATACAACACTGCAAGGAAGAGAGGCTAAAAATGGTCTGCAGTCGAGCTTGTTCACTGGATCAGAGGCCACTGTGGCTGGCTAGCCGTTAGCTCGCTAGCTACCCCTTCAAGTAGCCACTGCCTTCTGTGTTTTGAAATGGGCAAAACAAAAAAAGCTTTTGATATACGGATATTTGTCGTTTGAAAGAAATCGAAAACAAACACTGCTTTTTGGCCGCGGCCCGGGATGTTCTCGAGGTGCACGCAGAAGGTGCAGCTTAAGAGTTGTTGAGATGCTACTTCTTTTCAAAGCTAACGAGCTAACGTAACAACATTTACCAGTGGAGTTGCATTGAAAATATGAGAAATATTCGGGACTCTCGGTTCTAGTTTAGAGCCCTGGAAGCTGACCCCAGAGCTGCAGGCCATGCGCCCTGTTTTGGCCGGGTGGTTGGTGGGACCGGCAGCTCGGGCCCGGTGAGGGTTTTACCATAAAAACCGGGACGGCCTTCGTGTTACCGTGTTTCTTTCACCTGGGGGCGATCTCCTGCATCATGGCCGGCAGGTGGATGGTGGGACACGAGTCTCTGTGTCTCAGTTTGAACATCAGCTGCTCTTTTTCCTGAGAAAGCTTCTGGTTGACCAACGCCTGCCTCTCCAGCGCCACCTTCATCTCCTGCTGCTCTTTCGATAGCTGCCTGGGAAACAGGAGGTATAAATAAATGCATTTAAAGTTACAAATACAGTATCATCTGCTAATAAGCTAAACAGAATTGCAAAAACAGACTTCTTGGTGTTTTATACTAAATTAAAGAGCTAGCCAAAAAATAATATTACTAGATTGTTTGACAATTGGGGTCCTATTCATTTGAACTTGACTTTGAGTGTTGAACTGCAAAGTTCCTTTTAGAACAAACTAGTATTATTAATATATATATATAATAATAATAATAATAATAATAATAATAATATATAATATATATATATATATGGTTCAATTAATCAAAAATACATTAAAAGAAAACAACATTAGTAATGAATTATTTCGATTGATGTTACTTCATTATGATCTTATTATAATTATTTTATGGACATTCTAATACAATCTCTGTTTAATTTGGCCATATGTGTCTTGATGTTGTTGCTTTATTCTTTAAACATAAAAAATACATATTTAAACAGAATTAAATCATTCTTGCAGTGAGGGTGCAGGTGTTTTTTCCACTTTCTTTGCTACTAGAGGTTCAATGGGCTGAAAGTAATGCAGTCTCACTGGGATCTTTTGGTAATATTGTAAAAATGTTAGATATTACTCAATTTTGAATGCCCTCAAAGCTCTGAAACCGTTTTGATAAAACATTCCAGTCATTATATTACATTACTTATGGACCAGCAAGGTGAAGATAGGTGTTGGAGCAGACACGAGTTGTCCTGCAGGGGGCGCCCTAGCGCTGCTCATCAAGCCACTGTCTGTTTCAGAGAAGAAGAGAGGAAACCTACTGGATCAGAGTCTGGCCGTTGTCTATCCGGACCCTCAGATCCTCATTCTGCTGCAGGATGTGGATGATCTGAGCCTCCAAAGACAGATTATTCTCCGCCTGAGAGTCAAGAAGAAGAAGAAGAAGAAGAAGAAGAAGGAAGTGGAAATGAACGATTGATGGAGAGCTGAACACGCAAGAGATTTATAGAAAGAACCATGTCAGCCGGTGTGTTTTCATACCAGAGCGTCCATCTGCTGCAGCTTCCTCCTCTGCTCCTGCACACACTCACTCTTCATCTCGATCACAAACAGCAGTGACTCCTGCTCCGACTCCCAGAATGCACCTGGGCTGCCATGAGCCTGCAGGCCACAGAGCACAAACAACATTTGTTCATGTTCTGGAAGTCGCGCATATCTGGAAAACTAAGCTGATGTTTGGCTGATTTTTCTTACAGCTGATTAAAACCAAAAATAAATGCTAAGCTAAAGCTATGCTAACATCATAGCAGCTCCACACACACTCAGAGTGACTTAAGTTTTAACAGTGGAGAAGATCCTAAAACAGACTAAACAAGCTCTGCTTCTGGAGGTGCACAGCTGGACGCCTCTTGCCCTCACACACCTGGATGTTCCTCTGCAGGTCCTTCTTAAACGTAGAGCCTTCCACTCTCCTCTTCAGCTCCTTGTAAACCTGCAGCTCAGCGGTCAGCTGCTGCACTTCATCCTTCAAATTAAAAAATGCATAAAGTGTTTGATGCAGCATGTGAGGGAGAAGTGTTTAGGTTTGATGGTTTCCGACAGGTCTGTGGGAACTTTGGGGAATTTGTTTTACCTTGAGGACGTTCTCAGTCGCCCGGAACTTTTCTGTAACTTCAGTTTTTTCTTGTTCGTATTTCTTTTGCAGCTCTGCACAAAATAAAAGCTTTTTAATGTCCATAAAAACGTTGTAATTTATTCTACAGACTTTCTATAAACCTGCTAGAAACACAAGAAATGAAACGGGTGCAATGACAGAATGATCAAAACGAAGCGGAGCGTCTTTGTCCGGCTGGATTTCACCGCGTCTCATTACCCGGTCATGAACATTAATTGTAGAAAGATATTTAGAATGAGACACAGCTTATAGAGATTTGTGCATATGGCTGTAAAACATATTCTTGCGTTGTGAATAAGGGTTTGAAATGAGTCTTTAGGGTGAATTTCCAGAGGAACATTAATTCCCTCTGCTCACTTTTAAGGCAAATTAGGCTAAATAATACATTTTATTTATAGTGCATTACATGGTAATCTACTCAAAGACACTCTACGGTAAAACAAACAGCAATAAAACCAACACATACAACAATCACATTAAAACAGTCAACAACTTTCCTGTAAGTAGATTTTTTTAATTTAAAGCGTGGTCTACTTAAGGAGGCCGTGAACCTGCACTGATCCCAGCTGTGCACACCTGGATTGACTTAGCTCCTCCTTCTCATCCCGGCTCGGCCAACGTGCAGCCGATTAAGATCACACCAAGTCATGCGGCGCCTTTTCAGTTATCCTGGATTCCTTTATTCTACTTTTGTGCAACACCCCCCAGGTCATACGGAGCGTTTAGTAGTGATGCTCCTCTTGCGTCTGGAGCCTCTTACCTTCCACGTTTCTCCGATGTTCTTCAGTAGAAGATTTACTTTTCTGTTCATGGAGGACGCTCAAATCGGCAGTCGTCTCCGTTTTCACCTGAAAAATAAAATAGAATAGTGAAGAGACGAGTGTGAAAAGTTTTCATAGCGAGGAGGGAAACTATGAAGACACATGGATGACGGCTGTGGAAACATGTGGACTGTTAAGCTAAAAAAACATCTGGATTAAAAGAGGCAGATACACAAAGCAGGAATCAGTTTATCCAATATGTGCTTATAGTCTATATATTATAGTATATATATAACAACACACTTCATTTAAAAAATTAATTAGATAAGTTAGAATAACAAAGATTCTATTCCCCAAATTGATAAGAGCAGAGAAAAGATCGTCGTTTTCTGAAACATCTGCAGAGACACAAGTGGACTTCATGTCCCCGTCGGTCAGAATATTTGTTTCCGTTTCACGGTTCACACAACATGACGATCAATAACGTATTGATAGAGGAGCTGCTCACCTTGTCGAGGAGGCTCAGCACGAGGGCGCACACCTCCTCGTCGCCGTGGTCCTTCAGAAGCTCCGCCCTCTCCGGGTTCCCATTGGCCGCTCTTAAGATTCTGAGCTGCCACTCATAGCGCTCCAGCTGCTTCTGCAGACAGAAGTCCGGCTCATCTGACGGATGTTTACCTGCAGAGGGCGACCCTGTGACACGAAGAGGGACAGGTGAGCTCACCTGTGGAACACGCTTACACGTTATCGCCGGCTTTTCAGTAAAGCAAGTACAAAAACACGCAAATACTGCTTCAATGAACTCTATTAAGTACTTGGACTAGTAGAAGTACTAATACCGTAGTGTAAAACTTCTGAAATCACACAGCACAGCTTTCATGACCAGAGTCATGTGACCAGAGTCATGTGACCAGTCATATTCCAGAGAACATTCCGTTTGTAAGCGCAGATCAAATGGATATTTGTACATTTCCTCTGATGCATTAAAACCCCTTTTAGATGAACATATTTGTTAATATGTCTAATCAACGGATCTCAAGTTCACAACTAAATAAACATTGAGAAGGACGAGGAGAAAAAGAAGGGAGAGAGAGAAGAAAGGTGAATCCACATTATTTGTTGTCCATAACCTTCAGTGGGGGGACGATACTGAAGAAACGTTTAAAAATCAGACCGTGATACACGCGGTTTAGTCCACGTTCCCCAATTCTAACATTTCTGCTGCTTTTGTTTCACGAATCATGATTCCTTCTTTGTCAAACATCCGGACTAAACATCACCGGCAACATCATGATTTTATAACCGCTTATTTTCCACAGCGGTTTCCTGTAACATCTGTATGATGACATGATTTATGATGACATCACGGATGATGACGTAATGTTAGAACGGCAGAACTTTACAAGCTGCTTGTGAAAGGAAAGGAGAAGAGTCACCGCCTCACAGCAGATGACCTTAAAACAACGGGCCTGTGATCGCGCTTCAAAGTTACTTTTATTGAGCGCTGATCCTGTGGACACGTACCAAGCTGTCCCGCAGAGGACCAGGACCAACATGAGAATAGAGGTCCAGCAGGAACAACAGCAGGAGCCTCTATCCGACTCCGCTAAATGGAATGCAGCCGGTGTAAACTTTATCAGTCCAGCCTGTTGTGACAAGCCCCCGAGGTCTGAACGGTGTTGCTGCACAGCTCTGAGATCAGCGGCTAACCCCTCTCTTATTATGTGCTGATGACATCATCGCACGAGTTCTCTGGGTGGAGGTTCACATGTTTTAATACAACAAATGTCAGGTTCTTATTAATTAGAAGAATGAAGTACTAATCAATCAATAAATAATAAGTACTACATTGTTACTTATTAACAGGAATATCATTATTATAAATCAGCTGGTTTAGAGGTCCCTTTTTTTTTTTGATGTAACATTTTAGAAATGTTCATCTCAATGTTTAATGTCAGATTGATTCTCATGAAGCAGGAAGTGAGAAAGAAGCAGATATCAGTCAGAGGAAACAGGAACACACACACACACACACACACACACACACACACACAGTTCATTAACACACTCACCTCCTTCATCTCGGCCTCTCTTGTCCTTCTGGCTCTTCTCTCCCTTCTTGCTTTTCCTCTGATGACGACAAAAGGAAGAACATTTTACCGACACAATCGAAAAAAACTGAGCGGCTACGTCAACAATCTGATTTTACCTCCGCGTTGAAATTAAAGTGTAAAAGGGTCTAAAAGAGCAGGAGCGCATGACTCAGTGGACGGGGGGAGCCTCATCTTCACCAAGCAGAGCCTGAACGCATCCTAACATAAATTAAGTGAACCACCGTTAGCTGCTAAGGTTACATTACATTACATTACATGTCATTTAGCTGACGCTTTTATCCAAAGCGACGTACAATAAGTGCATTCAACCATAGGGTACAAACTCAGGAGAACAAGAAACAAGAAAGTGCAATTTCCTCAAATAAGCCAATTTACAATTTGCTATAGATGAGTGACGTTACAAGTACAATTTAAGTGCTACAATTTGTTAGTCTTTAGTCGAGGTAGAGTCTGAAGAGGTGTGTCTTTAGTTTGCGGCGGAAGATGTGAAGGCTCTCTGCGGTCCTGATGTCTTCAGAGAGCGCGTTCCACCATTTCGGCGCAAGGACAGCGAAGAGTCGAGACCTAGTCGAGTGTTTTGCTCTCAGTGAGGGAGGGACGAGTAGTTTTGCAGATGCAGAGCGGAGAGTGCGGGTTGGGATGTCGGGTTTGACCATGTCCTGGATGTAAGCTGGACCCGATCCATTCACAGCATGGTACGTGAGCACCAATGTTTTGAACTGGATGCGGGCGGCCACCGGCCACGGTTACCAGCTCCTCCTTGTACTGTAGCTGTAAATTTAGCCTGTTAGCTTAGCATAAAGACAGCTAGCACAAGACTAACTTTCTTTCGTGACGCCTTTGATGGAGATGGTTATGTCCTTTATTGTCTTTCTAGGCTGGTCTCTCTTTGTTAATCCGATTACCAGATTAGATGGAAAGGATTAATCAGTTGAGGCCGTGATGAATAACCGACACGTTCACATCGAACAGGAAGTTAAATGTCTCTGAGGAGGACAACAGGTCCCTGGTGTTCAGTATTAAGAGTACGACATGCATTCATCAACACCCTAATACAATACTGCCATAATCAAACCTGGCTCCTACATTACCCACAATGCAACTGGACCCCTTAACAAGCCAAACCCCAGCCTCCTCGTCGTTATGGGAGGAGCCAAAGCTCCTGCAGTGTAAACAAGGACTTTGTTACTGATCAACAAAACCGCTGAATAACAATCAATACGACGACAGGTTCCATCAGGTGATCGTCTGGTCTCACTGGTGCAACTTATCAATAATCCTATTGATGATTCAAGAGGCCTGATTGGGAGCTCCTGGACTACACCGACCGCCCACGTGGTAGTTAAAGAATCCTCGCTGTCCTGCGATCCCAAACTGCTTTGCGACGGCGGAGCGATGCTGAAATGTTGGCTCTGGTCGCTGCGGCGACCGGCGACGACATCAGCTGCGTGATGAGTCACACGGAGCCGAGGCCGCCAAAACAGAAGGTCACACGGGGTCGTTTTCAAGAGGGAAAAAGATCCCTTTCTTTTAGCCTCTCCAGCCCCGTTCACATGATTCAGTGAATTACATTTTCTATCATGACCAAGGCGAAAGTTACATATTCATAAAGTCCTCTTTCTGAGTTGTTTGGGCCCTTAATCAATATTGCAAAGGTTTGAGAGAATAGAAGTTTCTAGAACTGCTAAATGAGAAAAGGGGTTCAGAGATGGCGACTGTGCTGCGTATACAGGAGAGAAGTATATGTAGGTAGAAAGCACGTAGGAGTCTGTCATTTGCATCATAGCTACTCTTCAACTGGGAGTGACGGAATCTAAAACAAATCCAGAAAATCACATGATGTATGATTTAAAAATATATGTCAGTAGCAGTTTATTGCATGAGACGAGTACTTGATACATCAGAAAAGCCGACCCTAATATTTGGTACAGAAACCTTTGTTTGCATTACAGACATCATGCGTTTCCTGTAGTTCGTGACCAGGTTTGCACACACTGCAGCCGGGACTTTGGCCCACTCCTCCATACAAACATGCAGGTTTCGGGGCAACAGGGACTTTCTATTGGGTTCAGGTCTGGAGACTGGCGAGGACTCTCCAGGACCTTGAGATGCTTCTTACGGCGACACTTCTTAGCTGCTCTTACTGAGGGAAGGAGGTCGATGGCCTCAACCATCCTCCCCTCAATAGGGCGCAGTCGGCCCTCACCATCCTCATGATCATTGATGCCCCACAAGGTGAGATCTTGCATTGAGCCCCAGAACGAGGGAGATTGACCGTCATCTTAAACTTAAACAGTTCCCTCCTCAGCAAGCAGCTTGCCTGTTGTCCTGCAGCCCGTCCCGGCCTTGTGCAGGTCTACAATTCCATCTCTGATGTCCTTACACGGCTCTCTGGTCTTGGCCATTGTGGAGAGGTTGGAGACCGTTTGAGTGTGTGGACAGGTGTCTTTTATACAGGTAATGAGTGGAGAACCGGAGGGCTTCAGACAGACTACCAGGTCTGTGAGAGCCGTAATTCTTACTGGTTGGTGATCGAATACAAAACCATACAATGTGATTTTCTGGATTTGTTCATACAAATGACATGGGAGTGATGGGGGGCCGATTACTGAGCGACCAGAGCCGTTCCGTATCACTGGGGACTCAAAGTAACAGGTTAGAATGATTATTACATTACAGGTCATTTAGCTGGCGCGTTTGTCCAAAGCGACTTACGTTACATTTTTAACCCCGTGGCTTTTCACATGTTTGCCCGGGGAGCAACTAGGGGTCAGGTGCCTTGCTCAGGGACACTTCAACACGGGGCAGCCGGGGCTCGAACCTCCAACGTTGGGGTTCCCGTCGACACCGATTTAAGGTGGACGTCATGAGCGATGTGAATGGATGAGACGGCGCGGGGGAATATTTTTTCTCTACACTACCGATACACAACGTTTGGTGGCTACAACTATTTTGTGTTGAAAGGCAGCGATTTACTTACTATTAATCATTTTTCTGGTAACCGTATAATAAAAGCAATAAGGTGCTTGAGGCGGTACTTTATCTGCAATAATCCGGGGTGATGTTAGGCCCGACGCAAAGCCTCTCGTAGCTTATTGCTTTATTAAAGTAATAAACTGGAGTTCAGTTTAGTCTGCTGTTAAAGTAACTTCCTGTTTTCTTAAGTTTCTCTATTTTGTGAGTTTTTATAAATAATGAGTTATTTTTAGCTCCAAGATTAAGTCGAAAAGTGAACCAGCAGATCTCCACAATGATTAGTTCTTTTTAAAGCTTTTCAGGTTAACGCCTTTGTCCCCCTGCGTCCCTAACGAGACGTTTGTGGGTCTTAGAGCTCCAAGGTTGAATTATTACATTGTATTATTCGTTGATGTCATTTTGGATCAGGGTTTTAAAGTATTCTTATTTCAATAAAAAAAATACATAATTCATTAATAATTGGATTGTTTAGTTTGTACAGTTCTTGAATCATTTAACTTAGGGATGTATTACCAAAACAATTTAGCAAATAGATTAAACAATTTAGGAATTCTGGGTAACAATTTCATGATGCTTCAGTTTTCGAAAACCAAATCTCCACAAACCCTGATTGATGTCTCTCTAAAAGCATCAACGAGCTTCAGATGCTTAAACCTGACAAGTAAATAACAGCTGCTGAGTTCTTTCTGTTTTGGCTCCAGATGTTGAACTTGAGCATGAAAAGATTTACAGACTTTTCATTAACGGTCCAAACTCCACGTTTACGGCCTCATGAAAGCATCGTGCATCCGGCACGCCGACACATGGGCTGGTGGTTCTGACCCCCCTGTGGACTAAAGTGGTAGTGTCTCATCACCAGGGTTCCCTGCTCCTGGAGGAGGAGGAGGTGGAGGAGGAGGAGGAGGAAGAGACACTGCTGCTGCTGCCACCCCCTCCCTCCCCCTGGAGCTGCAACTGCAAGTCCGCAGGGAAGCCTGAACTGGGTCTGTCCACAGTGGACTGGTCTCTGTGGAGGATCTGGGTCTGTCCACAGTGGACTGGGTCTGTCCACAGTGGACTGGGTCTGTCCACAGTGGACTGGTCTTATTAATTGTGAGACAATGATAAACCACAACATTTTGGAATATTGGTTTCAAAGAGGAAATAAAGATGCTGAAGAACAGAAAAACACACTGAGGTGTTTTGTAGTTCAGCTGAAGCTCAGAGTCTGAGCCTGTAAGTCCTTCTATTCTGAGATAATCTTCACCGCAGCTACGCTTATGCAACAACTGGTCCAATAATTGATCCCAATTAATGGGCCCAGTATGACTGGTCCCATTGACTGGTTCAATAACTGCTGCCAACGACTAGGCCCAATAGAACTAGTCCCAACAACTGGTCCAGTTGTATACACACACACACACACACACACACACATATAGATAGATATATATATATATATAGACATATATTTATCCAGAATAACCCCCAGACTCTGTTTCCTTTCTACAGACAAAGACTGTTTTACTAATAGAACAAAAACCACGTTTGGTTGAGAAAGATTTGAAATGATTCAGAATGAGAACGCTGCCCCCCCCCCCTTGACCCACATGAAGCCACTCCGTCATCTTCTATCAATAACCGGAGACAACAGCTGAACAACTTATCGCCCTGTGAGCTGAAGTCATTAAAGCACAGCGACACAAGCAAAATATTAACAATATCTTCAGAGGTAAAACGGCTCATAACACTCACATCATCATCATTGTCACTTCATATCCACAGGTAGTAATATATATATATATATATATACACACACAGGATTCTATGAGACAATGTACAACAACATATCTCAAGAATCAAGACTGCGTACTTTGAGGATATTATGGCTTTGTGACATTTGAACGCAAATTAAAATGAATTTAGAGATTATGAAGCAGATTAAAGTGTTGTTACTTAAAAGTCAAGAGGTGTCCTTTATTTGAGGAGAAGGTGATTTTAGAGCTGATAACGGAGATCAAACTTGCCCTCAATGACGTCAGAGGGGTAAACCGGATTCAATCCGGTTCCCTCGCACCGTGGGAACAGATTCAAACGCGACGCCAGATTAGAAACAGATGTTCAGAGAAGAAGAAGAAGAAAAGAAAAGTAACGTTCAGGTCCACTCTGTTTTTCTTAAACTGCACAGTCTTCGTCTGACCCGCGCGGTGGTTTAACGTTAGTTGTATGTGATTAGCGGTTAAAGTGTGTTTTGGCTCCTTTATGACCCGCAGATCGGGCGCAGCACGTTGTGAAGGCGCGTCGCCGCCGCAGCGAGCAGCGAGCAGCCTCCCCCCCCCGAAACAGACCGACTTCCCCCGGGGCTTCACCGCTAGATTCTGCCCGGTGTCCCTCACCTTGCTGTGGCTGCAGCCCATTCCTCCCGGTGCTCCGGTGCTGCGGAGCTCTGCTGTAGCTTCGAAGCGGCTGTAACTCAGCGCTCCTCCTCTTCCTCTTCTTCTTCGTCTTTTTTGTCTTCTTCTTCGTCTCTCTGTTGTCAACTTTTAAAAAAACACTCCCGTGAACGCACCGCTCGGGCCGCTAGGGCAGGGGGCGGAATGTGTCTGTGATGCCTTCAGGAACACTTCGGAAACTCGTCAAACACGTTTTTTAAAATTGTTGTTAAATTTGCGAATAAAAAACGTAATACTTCAAACGATCAAAATTAACTTTATCAAATAAAAATGTTTTAAAAAAGAAAGCGAAAATATGTTAGGTCCAAAATTGTTTTCAAAAAAGTCCAAATACATTGTGTTTACAAATATGTTGGAAAAAAAACGTCAAAAAGAATTTGGTCAGAAAAAAATATTCAGTGGAATTTTTTTTTTTAAAGAAAGTAAATATATTTGAAAAATATTTTAAAATATTCAAAATATTTCAAAATATGCTGTGTCTATAAATGTAATGGGGGAAAAGGGGTTTTAAAAAATGGATTCTTTTGAAAAAATATTTTCAAAAACAGTGAAAATACATAAAATGTCATGGAAAAAAGGTGAAAAAATATTTTGAAAAAATGGTATTGTGTCAAAAATGTTTTAAAAAACAACCATGTTGGTCCATTAAGTCTCTGCATACTGTTTCATCACAGAATTCTTCAATATTCTCTTCAACTTGATGTCCTAACAAAACCTTCTGTAAAGAAAACACAGTTAGTAGGAGAGGCTCCTCTACTGCAGCATTGTAAGCTTTCCACTTCGAAAACGTGAGTTCATTTGTAAGAGTAGTGTTGATTTTGTGTTCAGCCCTCCATTGTTATTTCAGCTAATTACTCATTTTAAGGCCTCCTGTTGGCACATCTCTTCCTGATTCTTTGGCACAGCTCTAAAGTGAAATCAGAGTGGAAGAGCACGTTCATTTGTGGCGCATTGATGGCCAAGAACTATAGAAACGTTTTAATGAAATAGAAGCAGATCGAACCGCGCATGTTACATGATATTGCTCTGGAGAAGGTCTACTCATGTAGAAGCACAAAGCAGCTGTGAGTCACTGCCTCTGTGTGTGTACAGTGAAGATGAGGCTGCGACATTTGGCAGAAGCAGCCTATGAGACCACTTTGCATCTGCCTTCTTCTTCTGTGAGACCGGTCCAGCACCAACACGTAACACCTCTGGATCAGGAGTTCTAGTATCTCCATCTGTCATCAGTCCCCTGGAGGAGGCGTGTTGGTGCGTCAGCCTTCAGCACCACAGCTGTGTGTGGTGTTCAGTGGGCGTATCCACTCCTCAGAACCAGAACTGTATGGATCAACTCCTGTCTGCAGCTGTTTGTACAGTAAAGTCAACCTTCGTCCTCTTAACATCCCCGCAGCACCAGCTGTCAACATCTGCTCTCGCTGGTGCAGCTACTGACTCTTAGGCTTAATTACCTGCTCTGTGCTCCACCCTCCTTCTTAAGGAATTCACAGAGGAATCGGAACAACTTGCGTCCCGTCATTATACATCCGACATGAGTCGCACACTTAGCCAAGGAGGAAATATGTTCGACAAAAAAAATGATCCACTTCTTCCCAAATAGATTTTGCTGCAGCTCAGGCTTCCCGTGTTAGCACAGTTAATTAAGGACGGGGAACAAATAAATTAAACAACACATGAAAAGCTCACATGCAGGTAGATTAGGACAGAGACAGCGACTCGAGGTGAGTGGTAATTAAATTACCTCTAGAGAAATATATTGTCTGTACAAGAAACAAGGTGATGACAAAAGTTGAATTGAGTGTATTTATTAATCCATCAATACCAAATCAATATCAATGAAAGTCCTCAAAGAAATGTAATGAGATACTGTTGCCAATTTAGAAAAGTTTTACCTCACAAGACCTAAAATCGGATCATTAGAGACGTCTGGAGGTTCATTATGCAGCATCAGAAATGTATTTCTACCTTTATTACTATATTGATTTATTTTAGTAAATGATTTTCACTAAAGTACAGTCGAATAACTGCTAGTACAAATAACTACTGGTACAAAAACATTCCTTCCAAACGTATCTGCGCTTGCAGAGTAGTAGTCTATATGAGTATTATTCATAGGAGACATAGTTGCATCACAAAATTCTCCAGACGAAGAAGCGGAGATACCATCAACGCATCAATGTTGTAAAGGAGAGGGAAGTGTTTTTTAAACAGGTTACAGCTGGTTTAAGTTGCAAAGCTGCACTGAAATGTAAAGCAACCATACGGGTCAGGATTGGGTTGCATCTGAGGCCCGGCTGACCCAGACGACGTGCATCATCCCATCAGCAAAGCAGCCGCGACAGAAGGTTCTAGTGACCTTCACAGAGCGGAGAACACGGTCTGCACAAGTATCAAAGCGCCTCCGAGGACTCGTGTGACTCTGAGGCGGCGCTCTGCACTGACAGCGCTCAGGCGCTCGTGTAACTTTGCACACTCTCATGCCGTCACGCACCACAGCGCCTCCCTTTTATCTGAACGAGCTGAGCTGCAACGGAGGACCAGTAAATCACAGCTGGGTCTTTGTCCGCGGAGCCCACGGTCTCCGAAGCTGCCTACTTACAGACCTTATTTATGCTGCAGGCCTCGCTGCACACTTTTCCCAACACGGCCCATTAATCTGAAGAAGAACTGGAAGGAGCTGGCGCATAGGGGTGCATTTTGTCTCACAACACTTTATCATTGCTGAAATATCTGCACGTTCCAAGTCCTTCAAACGTAATCCTTTATTTCAATCATTGATCTCAGTCCAAAGGATTCGAGGGATGAACGCAATTATTTGTAGGTCATTTTCCAGAGGGGTTGCTTAAATGAAACGAGTTCTAGTGAAGAAAGGATGACGAACACGCTTTTTGAACAAATAAACACATAAGAGAAAAATGCAGACAGTGGCCAGTTTGGGGATTTTATTGGTGCCCGCCCCTCTATTCCCTCTCTGGTTTATTTATTCCCAGACGATTGTCTTTCTGCACTGTCTTTAACGGCTCCCCAGCATGTGTCTTTTATGGAGCCATAGGAAAATACACTACGTCTCGCTTAATCATCAGTCAGCCGGGTGGCGAGGAGCCACTCTTCTGTGTGGTCCTCGCCGCAGCGGTTAAGAAAACTCCCCCAACGCCGCTGGAAAGCCGGCGTCGCACTGGAGGCGCTCCGCTGCGCCACATCACATGTCCGGGGGGGGCCGGACTCTTGTTGTGGTGGCAGCGAGGAGGTCGACGGGTCAACCCGACGTCTTCGTCATGGAGCTTCAGTCAGGGAAGTTGAAGTCCGTCTTTGTCTCTCATAGATGTATTGGCTGAAACGTGTGCAGGTGTGTTTCAGGTGTCCTCACTCTAAGTGGAGGAGCTTCTGTACACGTACCTTGCACGCTCGGCTCCCATTAAGAACATACTTGCATTTGCCTTTTCAAAGGGTCAACATGTGTCAAACCGGCTGGTATGAGAACGTGTGCAGGAGGCTGCTCACACACCCAGAACATATCAGCCCAAATTGTTGCGTTGTTTAATACGACAAGCCTCCCTGCAGTGACGGATACGTGTTTCCAGCACATGTGACGTGTGTAGAGACCGAGAAGGTGCCAGTTCCTGATGGAACGCCTTTAGGAAGCACCGTTTAGGATCTTTAACAACGAACCATTGTCGCCGTGTTCCTCGGGACTACTGCTGCACGGCTTCTGCAAGGAACAGAAGACATCGCCTCGGTATCCTTTGGTTGTGTCAAACAAGACGAGAGAAAGTCTCCTTTTACTGGTTAGGATGAAGTCCAATTTGTGCCATGAGGGCTTTATTTTCATCTCAGCATCTACAACGTTTAAGATTATGGCTGCAGCTCACAATTCTTTCCATTATCGGCTGATCTGTTCATATATCTTTGCGTTGTTTTGTAGAAACTTTGTGAGAAAAGGAAACAATTTTCCTTAAGCCTGAGTTGAGTTGTTTAAATTGTTCGTTTTGTTCAACAGATCCAATCCCAAAGATATTCTGTTTAATAAAGCAGAAACAACCGCAAAGACACATTTAGAGACATGTTCATTTAAGCTAACATGCTAACCGTTGCTAACCATCACTCAACACAAAGCCGAGTGTACTTCACTTACTTAACTCTCCAGGTTTTGCACTATTGCCTGCCTCCATCGCTTGTTTCTCTCTGTAATTCGGGGGCATTGCACTGATGTGAAAAGGCATTTGTTGTTTCTTGCCGGCCAGCCTGGCGCTCCCCCGGCCTCTCCCGTACATGGCTCCTCACGCAGGCTGTTTATGTGTTGAGTGCAGTTTCTACGGGTGGTGTTTGCGTCGTTAGCTCGGGGCTAAGGAGGCGACCCGCAACCACAAGGCCCCCGGTTTGTGTACCGCTGCAGCGCGTCGTACCTCATGGCTTCCTCATGGCTTCTTCCTCATGGCTTCCTCATGGCTTCCACATGGCTTCCTAATGGCTTCTTCCTCATGGCTTCCCCATGGGTTCCCCATGGCTTCCTCATGGCTTCCTCATGGCTTCCCCATGGCTTCCTCATGGCTTCCTCATGGCTTCCTCATAGCTTCCTCATGGCTTCCCCATGGCTTCCTTATGGCTTCCTCATGGCTTCTTCCCCATGGATTCCTCATGACTTCCTCATGGCTTCCTAATGGCTTCCTAATGGCTTCTTCCCCATGGCTTCCTCATGGCTTCCTAATGGCTTCCTAATGGCTTCTTCCCCATGGCTTCCTCATGGCTTCCTAATGGCTTCCTCATGTCTTCTTCCCCATGGATTCCTCATGACTTCCTCATGGCTTCCTCATGGCTTCCCCATGGCTTGCTCATGTCTTCTTCCTCATGGCTTCTTCCACATGGCATCCTCATGGCTTCCTCATGGCTTCCCCATGGCTTCCCCATGGCTTCCCCATGGCTTCCTCATGGCTTCCCCATGGCTTGCCCATGGCTTCCTCATGGCTTCTTCCTCATTGGCTTCCTCACGGCTTCCTCATGGCTTCCCCATGGCCTCCTCATGGCTTCCTCATCCTTTAAGCAGCTCGAGGGCTTCAGGTCTCTTCTGGAAGCGGTGGATCAAACTTTGGCGAATGAGGCCTGTTGCTCTTCCAGGCCTCTCTGCCTCCATCGCTTGTTTCTCTCTGTAATTCGGGGGCATTGCACTGATGTGAAAAGGCATTTGTTGTTTCTTGCCGGCCAGCCTGGCGCCCCCCCGGCCTCTCCCGTACATGGCTCCTCACGCAGGCTGTTTATGTGTTGAGTGCAGCACTCCGTGCAGCTTCGGGCCTAATGGAGTGTGAGAGAAGGCCTGGGCTTCTTCAGCTTGTGTTCAGCTGTACAAACATGCTGTCGCTCTCTCTGCCCTTCGTTTCTGTCCTTTCCTTCCTTATCAGGTCCTCTGCTGTTCACTTCCCTCGCTCAGGTGATCCATGGTCCATGAAGGTAACGGGGGACGAAGGTCTTCTTGTGAGTGGAGAGTCGCTTTGAACAGCAGGAACACAGACGAAGTAATGAGAGGCACAAAGTAGAGCTGGAGTCTCTTATTTTGAATATTGCACTTCTAGTTGGTCATTTGACTAGTATTCATTTTTAAATGATTGGTTCTATTTGTTCATTAGGTTCGGGTTTTGCACACAGGGTGAAAATGTCACATGGCTCCTCTCACAATGATGAACCGACAGAAACGTACAGAAGCTCTCGGCTCCACAGAAGCTCGCGATGAGTTGATCTTTAGCTGACAACAATTAATTTGTTAATGATATGCAGTTTAATTGTTGTTTTCCATGTCCTTATATTGTAATCATTTTGTAGGCTGATCTTTCTTTTCTCAGAAGAGTTGTATTTCCAGCATCTTTTTTGACCACATGAAAGAAATATGATATAAAAATCATACTTATGCCGTATACACGTCCTGCAGCCAGATGCCACGTGTCTGTCGAAATATTACATTACAAACAACTGGTAGCTTTTTGAAAAGCACATTTCTTCTGTGATGAGTTTAAAAACCTGACTGAGCAGATGGGGTGAAAATAATGCTAGCTTAGCATAGGCGCTACTTCAGCATTCCTACCCTTGGTAATAAGCTTATCTGCTTAGCTTCCATGTACAGCATGGAGCATCATTGTCCTCATCATCCTCTGTAATTGAATTGTCTGATTGCAGCTTTTCGTCCGTGCAGCAGCTAATCTGTCGTTGCAGATCAGTGCATCCTGTAAAAGTTGTAGTAGAAGGAGGAGCAAGAAGGGCGGTTGTGTCACACCCATCTTAAAGAAGGAAAGTACGCGTGAACGGCCTCAGCAGTGTTAAATCAGGACTACGTGAATGCTGTGAATGCCACATTCTGCAGCATCGACGGACCGTATCATGATTAATTGATGCATCGCTACCTGCCATCTCTCGCCGAGTCCCCGCGGACGCGCTCGCTGCCCTCCCAGAAGTCTTTGCTCTCGAGCGAGCTGCGGCTTCCCTGAGTGGAAACCTCCGAGGCTGCGGCTCACCGTGCTCCAAAGTACAAGCACCTGGAAAAATAAGCGTGCATTTAAATAGAGACGTCTCTCCCTTTCAGCTGGATCCAAACAAATTAAAGATGTCTTTCTGACGGGATGGTTCCACAAAGAGGGGTCGTAAAAAAAGGGGGTGGGGGGTGAGAGTGGCATGACCTCAACATTTGAAGACAGTTCTTAGAAGTGATTTTATTAGAGAATGATGGGATCATTGATTAGTTTGGGCCCGGCGGGAGTGGCTGCAGCAATCGGCAGGCTGGAAGCTGCTGGGCGGGTTCCTTCTCAGCGGTTAGGAGCCAAAGGAGCCAATTGAGCCAAAGGGGCCAAAGGAGCCAACGGAGCCAACGGAGCCAAAGGAGCCAACGGAGCCAACGGAGCCAAAGGGGCCAAAGGAGCCAACGGAGCCAACGGAGCCAAAGAAGCCAACGAAGCCAAAGGAGCTAAAGGAGCCAACGGAGCCAAAGGGGCCAAAGGAGCCGACGGAGCCAACGGAGCCAAAGGGGCCAAAGGAGCCAAAGGAGCCAAAGGAGCCAAAGGAGCCAACGGAGCCAAAGGGGCCAACGGAGCCAAAGAAGCCAACGGAGCCAAAGGGGCCAACGGAGCCAAAGAAGCCAACGAAGCCAAAGGGGCCAAAGGAGCAGAGGTGCTGGTGAGTTTAGGAAAATCCCACTGAGGTTCAATAAAGGAAAACAGGATTTGTGAATGATCGACCGTCTCTACACACAGAGACACTTTTTCGTGTTCCGTGTGCACCTACGTCTGCAAAAGAAGCCGCTTCCTCCTCAACACGCAAACTGCTGTAATTTAGTCTTACAACCTTATAGGAAGGTTTGACATTTTGTGAAATACGTGTAGTTTTCTGACAGAATAAATATTTACTTTGTGTCTGTGTGCTCAATATGAAGCTTAGCTTAGCATAAAAAACAGCTTTGAATTCACTTCAGCTACAATTGTCTCACATTTAATGGATTTTTAAATAGATTAAACACACACGCACACACACGCACGCACGCACGCACACACACACACACACTGGTCACTTTCACATACACTCACAACAAAGTTGTTATGGTTATCTGTTCGCTTAACTTTTATTTTTAACTTAAATTCCTTCTTATCCTTTATTTTTAAATAGGTGATTTTATTTCCCTCTGGCCTTATATTGTATTTCGTAGAGTAATTTGTAAATTTAACATTTTCTTGCTCATCTGTGTTGTTATCCATCGTCTTGCTGTCTGAGGTTACGTATTTTGGTAACAAAGGTTTGATTCCTGATCCCTGAAAAAATATGTTTCATTAGTTTGTTAAGTGTGAAAATGTGAATTTGTGCAACGTTCACTGTTACACTTAAACTGTTTGCTTCTGTGTGCAGACTTTATGCTAAGCTAAGCTAACTGGAAGCTTCATACGGACGTGCACAAGCTACTGTTCAGCAGGATGATAAATGACATGTAATGTATTGATGAACAAGGAAAATATGAGGATGGTGCAGCATTAAACAAATCTATGAAATTATTCAAACTTTCATTAAGAAAGTGAACATGCAAAAACCTCATGTGGTCCAAAAAGTGCAGCAGAGCACCTGTTGCTTTTATTTGGTCAATCTTTTCTCCACATGTCCGCAGTCATCCACGTCCAAAGCGCACAGATCCTCCTCGCTGACGGATTCACTGCTTCATAACTTTGCAAAGAAAAACACTTTAGAAGTTCCATCAATCGAGGCTCATTGAGAGAAACCTCCGTCTATAAACGCGCTTCACTCCCTGTAGCTCACGACGGAGCAGTTTCATGCTACTTGTTCCATTCTTTCCTTTTTACTTGTCTCTCAAAGTCCATTACAGCTTCATCGACATGTTTCACTCCAATGGAGCTGAGAGTGAGCAGTTTATGAACTCATATTAATATTCTTCATAACTTCCTTCATAAATGAGGTCGTAAAAAAGGTCCATTGTACTCGGAGGAATAAAGGATTCAAATCTCATGAAGGCAGCAAACATACATAAATACAGTAGTTATTGCCCACTGAAAACTATGTATTTCCAAAATAGGTGAGTTTGCTCCTTAATGGGTAAGATTCCACTTCTGAGCCGAAATTGAAGGAAAATCTGATTTGAACACAGTTGTCTTTTCAGAGGTACAGAGTTTCCTCATAGGATCGTTGACGTAACCTAAACTGGCTTTGAAAGGATCTTTTTTCTGGGATCTATTTTCTTTATTGCTCAAAAGTACTCAAGCTTACATTTCTATTTCTAATTTTTGTGTTGCAGGAGATTATGGAGAGATCCCCAACAATTACAATCCACAAAACTGATATGAGACAAAGTCGAAAAATATAGAAATGAAAATGCATCTTGACGTTTAGTGTCTGACTTCCACCTAAAAGCTTCTCTGTCGCTGCTCCTGGTGAAAGTTGGTGAAAGTGGGAGAACGTGTGAAACGCTTTGTGAACCTCAACAGGAAGTGAGGGTCATCGGTATCTCCATGGCAACAGGAATATGGCTGCCTGGAGCCAGAAGGAGGGTGAGCGAACGAAACACATGAATCACCCATTTACACATACTTCATATTTAAGCACAATCGCCAAAACGCTCTTAAATGTAATAATGATCTGGTTTTCTTTGTCTTCTTTGAAGATGAATTATTGTCTTTTCACGTTATAATTGTTGGTCATACAATGTGTGCTTTCTACCATGTGGATCTTTGGCAAATTCATAATTTTAAAATTATTTATTATTGAAGTATTCAGTTTTTATTACATTATAAATATTGCTGATTCATTTTTATATTTTATTTCCATATTAGTACAGACTTTTCTTAATAATGTTAAACATTATTTTATTTAACTGACTGAAGCTATAAGTGACACCGTCACCAGGTGCATCATATTCATACATATATATATGTATGAACTTGTCATAAACTTGTTTCTTTGTTCTTCTACAACACATTTACATGTTATACTCATTTGTCTTTATTTGTATCTTTGTAACCACAGCATTTCATCAGTGAAGGCTTATTCGTTCATACGGTCTTCATCCATCCAAACTGCCAGAAGATCTTCCCAAACCAGTTAAAATCCCTCCTGACAGAAAACCGCGGCGTTGAATCGGTGTGAGGCGTAAAAGGCTCCAGCAGAGGGCACCCCGCCTCCACCTCCACCTCCACCTTCCTGTGAGTTCAACAGAGCTCTCCTTCTCCACCCGACAAGAGACCCTTAGTGTGACAAGCCTACGAGACATCTGCAGACCATAAAAGCTCCAATCACAAGGCCATAAAATGTGACTCCATAACGGCAGAATGCAGTTATACATGAATGTACTTATTGATGTAGTTACTAATGGGTTGAAATGTAAAGACCAGGTCACTTTTTAGAAAGGTGTGACCTCGAGCACCTCCAGCTCATTGGGATTAGGTTGCACCAACTATTCTATTCTATTCTTAAAGCCAAACATTATATTATCAATGAGATGCAAATCCTTGGAATGTAGTAACGTCTGTTTTGTTCACATCAAATCATTTACTTAGTCTTTATTCAGTCCATGAGAGTTAAATATGTATTTATGCTAATGTAAAAGTGTGTAATATCTCACAGAAGAGCATTTTTAGTAATTTGAGGAAATTTTACCAATTTATTTAATCATAGAATGACAAAAATATGCAATTACATCTTTAACAACTAACCTCAATATATTAGCAGTCTGATCTACGAGGACATTTGATTGGCTAGTTCGTTATTAAGCTAACGCATTAACATCTAGCATTTAGTATTTGTAAATATTTGGCATCAACGGATTTTTACATGAATAGTTTATGAGGAGCAAAATAACTTTGGTCCATTGGACCGACGTGAAACTGATAAACCACTGTGGACATGAAGCTAACTATGCTATTGATAAAGCTAATGCTAAAACAGACGAGTCATGAAGCATCATTCAAAAGTCTCATAAAAAAACAACAGCAAACAAGTTTTAGTGACAAAGTGTATCGTAACATATTTGCCCAAGAATTTTGTCTCAATCCGTTTAAATGTACCGTTACAGAACCACATGTGAAGAAAAAAGCCACTCGGTCGGCAAAGCGACCGATTAGCGACCTTAGCTAACGTTAGCCTCCGTTAGCTAACGCTCATAACCACGTGAGGCCTCCGCTGAAACACCAGCAAAGTGACCTTTTACTGCCGATTAATCACACGTTTCATTTGTAAGAGCAGGAATGTGCTCTGGTTTGAAGTTAACTTTGTGAAAGAAGCACTTTAGGAGCGCAAAGAGATATTTCTGGGAAATTTGTAAAAGATCTCGACATCTGCCAGAATGGATGACCTCCCTTCGTTCTGTTTCTCCATCTCTTGGAGGAGGGAAGCCGCGGGCGAGCGGCTGACGGACAACCGCCGCAGAGTCAGAATCTATTCCAACAACAAGCTGACACGTTGTGGGAAATCAAACACGCTGGGATGTTATCACGGTGCGACCGCTTGGTTCCCACGCTCGGCAGGAGAAAGTCGCAGAGAGGACGGGCGGCTCCCCGGGCGGATGGCGCCCGGCTCATCGGAAGGCCGCGGGGGGCGCAGCGGGCCGGCGAGCGGGCCCTCGTCACGTGGAGTGTGAGGCGAGCCGGGGTTATCCTCAGAGACGCGGCGAGGTGAAGTGGGTGACCGTGTTTGAGGTCCGCCCAGCTGTTATTGCCCCTAATGTCCAACAGATGTGGGGGAGCGCGGCCCGCTAAGTCCTCGCACATGCAGGGAAATCAAAGCAGAGAGCGCCGGCTGAGCAGCACGACACACACACACACACACACACACACACACACTCACACAGCTCCGTGTGCATTAAATCACTCTCATTAACCATTTAGTCAGATAATAGAGGCAATTAAGATCAGTCCTGATTTTCGGAGCCGGGATCAGAAAGCAGCGGCTCTCTGACCTTTACGAAACACAACTGTTCGTCACATCTTTGCAAGTTTTTTGTAGAAAAATGAATTCAAATAAAGTACTTTTTTTTTAAGTGAATCAAGTCTTAAGGTGTTTTATTTGACAACATTTAAATAAATGTGGCTTTATTTCGTTGTGCAGGTTTGAATTCTTCCTTTGAAAACGAGCCACACAGCAGCGTAAAAACGATATCGTCTCCGAAACATTTACTTTGAAATGCGTGGCCGACCTCCGAGTCCCTTATGAAAATATGTGTTACACTTTGCCTGTTTATCGCCCCAAGAAACACAGCCCGTCTTCCCAGGCCCCCTCCTCAGGGAGCGGAACCCTGCGCTTCCAAACATGCGAGCGAAAAATCAAGTGAAATAAAAAGCACCACTGTGTTCAAACACATAATCCATGCAGAGGCTCTCGACCTGAGAAAGGGGAGCGTTGCTTTGCCCCAAGTGGTCACGAGGGGGTTGAGCGCTTCGAGGCTCGCTCGCTTACTTTGGAGCGCGCTCGAGGGAAGGCAACATTAGATATAATGAAACATTCAGTGCGCCTCGCTGCATCGAGGACATTCTGACTGAAACCTTTCTGCGAGTTGTTATAACAGGCCATGCCAGAGCAACATGGCGAGATATGGGAGGAAAAACACTTGACTCGCTCACTCCTTTTCTTTGTTTTCCTACTGCGTGTGGAGGAGTGTTCGTCCAAGTGCCTTCAGAACGCATTTGAGCCTGGAAGCAAGAGGAAAGCAGGAGGGAAAATCCGGTAAATGGTCTTTGTTTGGTGGAAGTGTGCTGACACTAAGCATGTATGCTGCAGGGACAAATGCCCTTTGTCAATCCGCGTGTTGAAACGCCCTAAAGAAAATAATATCACGCGCGCTACGTACGGATTGTGGCGGCGTTTTCCGTCGTGCGGCCTCTGAGTCAAAGAGGGAAGTCTAGAGTTTCATGACGCCGGATTACTGCGGGAGAAGAGGTTCACGTGATGTTTTTAGCCCCCCAATTAATCCCCTGGTTTCCGCTGTGGTGCCGCGTGTGTCCCGCGCTTGGCCACGGCGGCCGGGAGACACTCCCAAGAATATAAATCCGCCGAGTCGCTCTGAGACACGTTGAGCCGAACCCAAATATCCAGTCAACTGTGAAGAAGATAGAGTCCACAAATCAAGCCCGGGCCCATAATGAGCATTTCTTGCCATCTAAAGAATATATTCATGATTTGGGGACCTTTTATGAGGAAGGTGATGGCAGATCGACACCAGATGTGTCATAAATTATCAGCAGAGACATGCCAAGCTAAACAGTCCAGCAAAAATATACAGCGACCTCAAATATACTGGTCGCTTCGAATTCAAATACTGCTCGTCTGTGCGATTTCTGCTACCGAGATGAATATTCTTACACAGCTCCGACAAATAACAAGCTAATCGCTCATTTGATAACACTAAATGCTTTTTATCTGACCGCTGCTTTGAAATCACACATTTGCTCATTTACAGATGTTAATGTTCGAATTTAATAACAGAACTTTTTCTTTGTTACAGTAAAATAAAATGATTTACGGATAGATAATTCTTTTATATTGTTCTTAAACATCAGTACTGCAATCATTTGTATTTATAAGAGCTTTGGCTTTTGATTTATTTTCTCAAACAAATTGCAACTGATTCTATTCACTGAACATTTAATAATCCAATTAATCTTTTGGGATAAAAAAAGGATTTTATGAAAATAAACTAAATATGTTTGACTTTTGGCAGCATGTTTTCAAGACGGGATCGAGGAATTTCTCACCAGCATTATTTAAAATAATAATAATTAAGTAACAAAGAAAATAATCAACATTATTATGTGATAATTGCACTGTGTACAGTTGTTTTTAGGGTTACAACAGTTGATTAATTTCACAACGAATTTAGCTCAAAAGTTTTTACAAAGAACCATTTAGTTTATTGCATGAAATCACAGTTCTGAGGTCTGAGGCCCCATCGCAGCCTCCGCGCTGGTCACCCCGATGGAGATACTAATGCAATAATGCTTAAAGCGGCTGGATGCGAGTCACGTTTCGTTTGGTGATGCACCCGCCTGAGCCGCAGCCTCGTTCGAATAATCCCTCTGACTGCTGAACACGGTTTCTATGTGCGGCGGCAGCAATGACGTCCCCCTGCAGGAATGTGTCCCCCCGGTTAGAGCGCCAGACGCGGGGCAGCGTGGGTGTGAACGTAAATAAACCCATTATGCCCGCCGCGTCTCGGGCTCCTGTCACACGCTGCAGGTAAACACAGAGCTTCCTGCAGGAATACTTCTGGTGCTCCTGCAATTCCATCAGCCACAGCGGCGCTCAATCCTACAACCACGATGAAAACGTCACCTGCGGTGAAAAGGTTCGTGAGTAAAGTCCGTCAGCGATGTCTTCGTTAGAGCCCACCTGAGGGACACGTGACCCTGCAAAGAGGTGGACCTCCGCTAATGAGACATTTCCACACAAACACAGGGGTGTTCCACCGAACCCACGCGTCCTACTGAGGTATATACATATATATATATATATACATACATATATATACATATACATATATATATGCACCACAACAAAAGGTCTTTCCCAAATTGCATTTACAACTCGTCTGCTACAGAAAATACGTTTTGAGGGCAAATATGATGCATCCTTTTTCTGTAGAATATCCGAAAAGTCAAAGCATTTAGTTGAGATTGAGGTAATGATCGTTTCATATTACTATTCTATTATTCTATTATTCCCACAGCGCTTGTAGAGTGCTGATTCGACAGCTGTCCACGTGCACGCTGCTCCAGTCTACTCTGCGCTTCATTTGTTTGTAAATCTGCCTCTGGCCACTGACTTGAACCATCTTCACCCTCATGTGTGGACTGAATCCCGTTAGCGGTCATTAGCGCCGATCAAACACTCCTGAGGAGGTTCTGACACCAGAGTGCACGTATGAGTCTGCAGGCCGCGCACGGAGCGGCGGGCAGGAGGCTCCTGACGGGACCGCCGAGGTGGAAGGAGTGCAGCTCAGGGGGCCGAGTTAGAGGAGCAGGGGACGGTGAGACACGGCGGAGAAGGACTTTGTGGGTTAGCGGCGTTTCAGCCCACGGGGGCACATGGGAGCCGTGGCCTGAGGATGGATCCCAGCCGACCCCCCCGAGGTGTCAATGTTATGACATGTGTCCCGCTCCGCTGTTTTCTCTCACAACAACAGCACTTCATCTTCCAGGGTGGTCGGGCCTCATAAAAGAAGCTTGATTTACCCGCTGGGGGACCAGAGCGTCCACCTTCTCTTCTTCCTGTTGCACTTACGCTTCACTTCCTGTGGGCCAGCACCCAACCGTCGGCGGGAAGAAGTTGGATTCCCTCTCTGATGTGCGCGCGGAAGAGGACCGCCTCCTGGAGGTTACCGTTGGAGACAATCGTCCCTTTTCGCGTTTGTCGGTCGTGCTTTGCTTACGTCCGCCGTGACGGCCGCTCAGATGTCCCCCCCCCGATGACGACGACGTCTCCGGCTGAAAACAGAGTCGAGCGCTGCAGATGGAAAGCATGACGCGCCTTAGTGGATGTCCTGCGGCGGCTGCAGGCCGAAGACGACCGCGGATGTCAGCAGGGTTTTGGGGAGATGATATTTATTGTCACGCGTGATGAGTCACACGCGTAACGATGCCTGCGTCTTTAAAACGTTCTGAAAACATCTGGAAACGGTGAATGCGACATTCTTTTAGGGTTTTCTGCTCCTTCGGTTGATGTTGGTTACGTTTGGACAGTAACTTCTCCTTGGTAGAAGTGAGGAGACGGATCCATCGTGGTTCCCCACGTCGACTCTCAAACGCTTCGGTCGCCCGATCATCCGCGCCGACTGTCCCCGATGTTTGCTGGCCATCGCACAATTACACAACAACTGACGTAAGAATTTGTCCCTGTTCGTTTACACTGAGGAGTCAGTTCGGTGAGTTTGTAAAGGACGATGCTGATTGGATCAGACGAGACCACATGGTCGACATTAAGAACAAACCAGCGCTGTTATTAAATTCAGGTACAGGAAGTCGATCCAGCGAAAGGCGTCTGGGTTGGTTTTGGTTTTGGGACAGAAGCTGGAGCATGAGCTCCTGTAGAAACTGGGCGAGGACAATACAGAGACAGCAGAGACACGGTTCCAGGACGGATGCTGTTGTTTTCTTGTTGCTCTGATCACAAAACAAAGCTTTTTGTATTTCATCCTTTTTATTCGTGTAAACAAACCAAAACCGTCTGCGCGGCCCGACACCACTTGAGCTTATTGGACCCTTTAAAGTTCCTCTGCTGCCCACAAGAAAAATGTCTCCGTTCAACACGAGCCAAACCAGTGACGAGGCGATAAAATGACAAATCCCACTGAATCCCAACGAACGTCTCACCGCCTCCTCGCGCTGAACCCACCCAGCCGTCATTGTCTCACCCTGTCCAGGCGGCGCGAGCTCGTCCTCTGGCGCCGCCGAGAGAAGCGGCCTCTCGTCTGGTGGCACAAATAGGGAAACCCTTATGCCTCGTTGCCATCGCCAATACATCCGAACCACCGTGATGGTCCCACACAAATATTTCTTGTTGTAGGCGGCGTCCAAGACCAACAGGGTGTGAATGGAAAAGGAAACCTGCGTTCTGTCACAGCTCAAAGGCTGCCGGCCAAAAGTCAACGAGTGAAAAGTCTCCCCACCTCGCCGGCCGATGCTCTTAACCTCCCTTCATCTCGCAGGAGTGTTTGGTCACCAGCACGTCGCCGTCTGCTTTTTCTCTTTCTTAATACAACTTTTCCCACATGAGGCGGCCGCTGTTTCAGAGATAATCCAAGTGTTCTTTCTAACAGTCATTTGCATTTCATTAATTAAAGCAAACATGGCCTCAAGTGGCTCCAGGAGCAGATCCACGGCGTCCCGCAGTGTTTCTTAAATACGTGTAATATATGCAGCCAGGCGTGTTATGAACGAGGTTTTCTTTGCTAAGTGTCCCGGGTCTGTTTTTGTATGTCAAAGCACATGATTGACTGCGCAGAAAAAGAAAACATCTTAACACGTGTGATGGTCAGGAATTAAGGTATTTAT